ACCGTCCCCTCACTGGCCTGGGGATGGCGGCCGCCCCCAGGACGCCAACCAGACCCTCGGCAGGAACGTGTCTGCCGGGCGGGATTGGACGCTGCTCAGTGGCCACTGTGGCAAGCCCTGCACTGCAGGGATGGCAATGTCTCCGGCACTCTGGGGTTAAATGACACTAATGTCACTACGGGAGTGACATCGGTCTCGCCCATTTCCTTTCACGTTTTCAGTGCGTCTGCTAGAAAACTTAAAAGCACAGGTGTGGCTCACGTACTTCTGCTGGACACAGTGGTCTTGACCGGGAAGCCGCCGCCCGGACAAACTGGCCCCAGAGGGCCTGGTGGCCTCCCCACTGGAGAAGCCCAGGACCCTCCCCAGCCTGCTGCCCACGCCCGCCTGCAGGCCGGCCTGGGGGGAAGCAGACAGCCACGGCTGCTCACAAGGGCACCCCCAGAGAGACCCCCACCCGTGGCCCTCGCAGACACTCCCCGCACGGAGTCTTTGTGTCTGGCTCCTGCATGGAGCCGGGTCCAGGGTCAGCTGCGGCGCAGAGGGGCCCACACTTCTCTGGAGCGGCCAGGCAAGCGTCACTGTGCCACTGCCGGCTGGGATGGTGGTGTCCACTGCTTAAGGTCAGTCTGCTGACCGTGTGGGCTTCAGCCCCGTGTGGAGTTCCTGGGGAACCAGCCCCGCCCGAGTCTTGGCCGGGGACCTTTCCCGGGGGGGCCGGGCTGCAGGGGCCAGGCCCTGGTGGGCTTTCCCGGTCCCTGTCTGCTCTCACCGGCCACGTTGGACAGAACGGGGTAGAAATCCGATGAGCCACATGATAAAAAACTATGCTCCCGGCGTGGCGCAAAGTGCATCTAACCGGAGAGGGCCGTGCGGCCGTGTGGCAGGCGGGCCTTGGGCCTCCCTCGGGCGCCGAGGGGTGCAGACGGCCAGGTCTCAGTACTCTCTGTTTTGCTGTTTGCATTTCCTAAGTGTTCTACAGGGAATACTCCCCACTTTGTACTCATGAAAAAAGAAACCCCCGCCCTGGCCCGGGGGCTGCACTATTAGTGAGAGCACCGTCCTGATGCACCAAGGTTGCAGGTTCAATCCCCAGGCGGGGCACACAGGAATCAACCAACCATGCGTGAATAAGTAGAACGACAGGTGGACGTATCTCTTTCTTTCAAACCAATAAAAGAAACCCCCAACTGTTATTTTTAAAAGTTACAATAAGCGACAGTGCTGTCTCAGCTTTAGGAAAGGGCTTTGCCTGCACCCCCCCCCCCCAAGCCCTGCAGCAGCGACGGGTGTGGGAGGCGGCCACTCAGGTACTTGTTACGAACCGCAGTGGGCGCCCTGTGTGTCTGTCTCCCCCGGCTCCTCCGCAGCGGTCGCCTTCCCTGCTTTTCCTTAGTATGGTCAGAGGCTGGTCTCAGCCATCTTCTTGAAGAACCAGTTTTTGGGTTTATGAATATTATGCTTTCTGATGTAATAGTTCATTAACTGCGCTCTTCTCTTCAGTCGCACCCTCTTCTTCCTCCTGGGTCCCTCTGTTTGTTTCTGACGTTTGAGGTGTGGCTTTCTCCCTTGAACGCTTCCCGGTTAAGTGCAGGCTTCCTGGGTTCGCTGTTTCTCTGATGGCCTACAGATCTTCCTCTTCCTTCCAACGCCCAGCACTGCCGGCCCTTCCTGTGTAAGGACCTGTCATTTCTCTTGCGAAGCCTGACACTGGCCCTTTCCCTCCGATGTCTTCTGGGTTCAACTCAGTCATTCATCTCTCGGGTCACACGCGCCTCTTCACACGGGCTGGTTTCGTTTCATTCCATCCATGAGACATCACGCTGGCAGTTTGCTGTAAACCCTTCACATGCACACGGTCTCTCTGCACCCAGGGATGTGTCCCGGGACACGTGGTCAGGGGTGGGGCACCGCAGGCTGAGTGCCGGCACCAAAGGAGCTCGGACACCAGCAACCGGGGGAGCAGCTGCGCGCCCCCAGGTGGCCCCAGGCCCCTACCTCCGGGGTCCCTGCACCGGCCCCACCACCCACAGGAGTGAATAAAAACTCTCCTCATTCTATTATCTCAGCTCTGACCTCAAAGGACACTGATCTTGACCGACCTCCTGTTGCTGGGGAGAGCACACAAGTGGGACCAGGGTGTAGGGGACGGTGACAATGTTCTCAGCTCATGTGTTAATGGTCAGCAGCCCGCAATCGGGCTGCAGTGGCGAGCTTGGCGGGCAGCGGGAGCTGGGATGAGGCCCCAGGGAGCAGCTGCCAAAGAGAGCGTCACGGGGGGGAGGGGCCCTGAGAACGCCCACGACAGATGCAGTCCAGGGTGTGCCTGGGTGTCTGGAAGCTGATCTTGGGAGCCCAGCGTTGTAAGCCTATTTTTATCTCCTGAGAGAAAATTTTTATGTGGCATTTTATTTTTTCTTGGAAAGTGTCATTGTTTTTAAAGGAAAGAAAAAACCCCACTTTCCTTGAGTGGGGCTACAATCAATTTCCAAACAGCCACTCCTGCTTGTTGGATCGACATCTCTGCTCTGGAACTGACGCCAGAGAGGGACGTTCTCAGGGAGGCAGATCTGTGGGTACAGATGCTCTGGGACCCCTTCCGGTTGCTTCCATCTCTCTGGGAAGCAGGGAGCCTGGACCTGGGCTGGAGACGGACAGGTGGAACTGGGGCCCAGGAGATCGGACCTGAAAGACCCCAGCCACAGGGGGAGCCCATGGGCAGACGGGACCTGCCTGTGTCCCCTGAGGCTCCAGGTCAAGAACAACAGATGGGTCAGCGCAGCTGGGCTCCTACCCCCACAGGGGGGAGTGGGAGGCCCCAGTGGGTGAGAGGTCATCCGGCAGAGGGTGTGGGGGCTGCAGCAGTTGGCAACCAGGACCTCTGGGTGGGGTGGTGGGACCATGAGAGCAAACAGGGGAGCCTACAGTTGGAGGAGGTTGGCACCTCAGAGGCTGTGAACCCCGAGACAGGACAGCGACCTGGAGCAGACACTGATGGGAGACCAGGGAGGATGGGACAGTGGCAGGTGTGGGCCGGTGAGGGGAGTATCCACACCAGGGAATCCTGGAAGGACAGGCGCGGGGGGAACTCAGTCTGTGCTGGGGAGTGAGCGGGCCTCAGCGGGCAGCGGCCTGAGCGTGTGCACGGAGCAGAGCAGCTGCCCGGGGCCCCGCCTGCACCTCGAAGGCCTCTCCCCTGTCACTTCCCATGACAGCCCCCCTACCCCTGGGTAGGCACTTGTCATCCCTCCCACAGGCGAGGACTCCGAGGTCTCAGCTGGCTCAGTGCAGGGAAAAGGGCACTGCCATCCACAGGGGCATTTCTGGGGCTGGGGGCTGTGGTGGGTGATTTTACGTGTCAGCCTGGTGAGGCCATGGTGCCCGGAGAAGTGGTCAAACACAGTCCCAAGCTGCTGTGAAAGTATGTTTCAGAACTTAGACAAGCTCCCCCTCCATGGGGTGGGCGGGCCTCATGGCCAATCAGTTGGCCTGACAACAGCTGAGGTTCCAAGGGAGGAAGGACCTCGGGCTCCAGGAGGCCTTGAGTCTCAGCATCAGCGCTGCCAGGGTCTGCGGCCCCCACGACTGCTTGAGCTAATTTCTAAATATCCATGAATCGCTTCTTCTGGGTGCAGGTGTTACACTGTTTTTCTGGGGAACCTCGTGGACTAAGAACCGAAGTAAACTTCGTTTCAAGTGGAGTCGGGCAGGAGGGGGCGCTGTGGACCGCCTCCCAGGACAGAATCACCAGCTACCTACCTACCGGCCCAGCGGGCTGTGCAAGACACCGGCTGCCCTGCGGCTGGGCCAGCGAGAACCGTCACCTCCCTGACCCCTAACTTTCCTCCAGTGGACTTCCGCTGGAGACCACCTCTCCCAACTTCCCCCTTTTTCTCCATAAAATAATATGCTTCAGTTTTGTTGGGCTTCCTTTGCTATAGCTTGCTTGTCCCGAATAGCAATTCTTTGCTATTCCCGCATAAATCTATTTTGCTGGTAGAATAACTTTTATTTATTTTTAAGGTCAAAAGGGCCCACTGCCCACCACTATTTGGGGACAACACAGCCAGTGCCGCCTGCTCGCTCACTGGGACCCCATCTCTGCGGGAAAGATGGGGAGCGCTGGGGAGGGCGGCGGGGACGTCAGAGACGGTTCCCAAAAGTGTGACTGGGTCGCCGTCACCACCTGCTTCCCCGGGAGAGCCCGGGGGCCTCCCCTCTGGCTGCCTGGTTCTGTGCGACTCCCAGAACAGGCCGGCATCCGCTCCTGGGGTTGGGCCGGCCCGCTCCCAGTTCCCTCCCATTGGTGTCCCTCTGCCGCACTGGCCGCTGGCGTGGGGACCATGTGTGGCCTGTGGCCCAGGACGTGCTCCACGCGCACCCCAGTCCGCAGAGCCGCAGGACGAGGGCTCCGCCCCTGTCACACTCGGCCCGTGGGCTGGAGGGAAGGGGGGCGACAACGGCCACTGAAGGGAGCTGGGTTGCGGCCCTGCCTCCTGCGCCTCAGCCACCCCGGAGCCCGCCCAACCTCGGCCCGCGACTCAGGGAGTCGCTCACCTGAGCCCGCGGGACCCGCCCGGAACCTTGGCCCAGCTCGGGCAGCAGAGTCAGCAGCGGACCCGTACAGCTTTCCCTGGAGCACCCAGGCCAAAGCAGACTCGTGGGAGGCTGGCAAGCAAACACGAGCGCTCGGAGCTTTTCGGAGCTTTTCGAAGATTTTCGGAGCTTTTCGGGACAAGTCTAGAGTGGAACTGACAGAAAAGGGGCGTGGCCAGACGCCGGAGGGGCTGGCCTGTTGGGCGGGGTCGTGGTCAGAGTAGAGGCGGGGCTGGCGCCGAGAGGCGGGGCCAGGTGCGGGAGGCCGGGCCATTGGTTGGGGCGGGGTTTGGGCGGGACCATAGCGGTGGGAGGGGCTGGCCGGCGTTGCGGTGGGGGAAGGCGTAGGGCTGCTCTGTCGCCACGTGGCGCCAGGGGGCGCCACGGACAGCAGGAGGTGTGGCTCACCTGCCGCTCACCCAGATCCCCCGTGTCCAAGTGCCCGGCGGTCCTCCGCCCCTGACCCACCCCCGGCCTTGAAGGGGCACCACAGCCCTAGCCCACCTCCAGATCCAAACGTCCCTGCTCCGCGGTCCTCGGTCCCCCCGTCATCCCACCGGACCCCTCAAGGGACACCATCCCGCCACTTGTCGCGCTCCGGCCCGGAAGCAACGACTTCCGCTGCGGCCGAACAGGTGCGGACGCCGCCATGCCCTCGCTCAGGGACCTGCTGCTCGACTGGCAGCGGGGCGTCCAGGCTGTGGCACGCGGAGACTGGGGCTGCGCCCTGCGCCTCTTCTCGGGCGTCCCGGGGCCGCCCGCAAAAATGTGCTTCAATATGGGCTGCGTGCACCTGCTCGCCGGGGACCCAGAGGCCGCGCTGCGGGTGAGCCAGGGAGCCCCAGGGTGCGTCACTGAGACTCCACTTCTGGGGGAGGCTGTTCTCTGGCACTGGGGCCCTTACCGCGCCTGGCGGCTGAGCAGTGTGAGGAAGACCCAGCTGCAGGGATATGCCCCGCCATTCCTCCCGCGGGTCACCTGGGGAAGTCCGTCCGGTGTTCTGCCTCAATGAACACCTAAGGCGGGAGAGGGCTCTGTGGTCGAGGGACCCTCATCCTGACTTGGCGGAGTCAGGGCCACCATGGGGGTGCAGGGGTTCCTACTGCCTCCACTGTGCCGTGACTGTATGGTCACGGGGAAAGGCCCAGTCCGACACTAGCTCAGGTGCTCAGAAGAGGCACTGACATACCTGGAAACAAGCCTGAGGCTGGATCCGGCTGGGAAGGGGCTTACTGTCCCTGCAGGTGTAGGGTTTGGTGCAGGGAGCTTCGGCAGATGTCTGTGGCGATGGTGAGGAGACAGGTCTGTGCCCAAAGCCCCGATGTGAGGGCTCCCCTGTCTCCCAACCTGCTCCCCAAAACAGAACCAGGAACACAGGGGATGCGCAGCACCTGCACATCTGGCTCCGCCCAGGGGGCAGCACAGAGCCGCTCTCTGTCCTTTAAGGCTTGGTGTGCCCCCACCCCACCCCCGTGCCGCACAGGCCCCAACCTGTGGAAAGAGCCCAGTTCCTAGGTCCGTCACGTGGTGGATGAAAACTGCATGAATGAAGAACGGGAGGTGATGTGGTGAGGTACCCATGTCAGTGTCTCCCAGACTCCTCCCCCAGAAGGGACTGGAGGCCCGCCGCTGTTTCTGACCTCCCATACGAATCCGAGACGCTCAGTAACCTTTTCTGTTTATTTGCTGACCGAGGAAGGGCGTCCAATCAGTGGACACCAGTTGGTTCGGCAGCAACTGCGTTGTCTGGCTATTCAGCCATCACGGCTGCATAAATGTGAGTCACCCAGAGAGGGGGTGCCCCATCGGTTCTCCCCTCCCCCAAAGAGGAGGAGCCTTGTGCTGTCCAAAGTCAATGCAACCGAGTAACCACTGAATAGCATATTCGTTGGAAATTCGAGATTTTTAAAAGCGGTGGAACAGCTGCCATTAACCATTGTTCTGGGAAGCAGCACAGGGTGAGGAGGGGCCTGTGGAGGCCAGGCTGTGCTCTGTGGGCTCCACGTGAGCCCTGAGCTGCTCCGAGGTGAGGGGGCAGGCGGGACAGCACACACAGGCTGTACTTGCTCGGAGGGGTCGACACACAGAACCTTCAACCTTGGGTCAGATCCAGTCCAACAAGCCCCCAACCTGGGTGGACCTGGTAGAGTATGACCGCCACACCCCTTCTGGGGCCTCTGTCTCCGGAAGGAACAGATGGCGTTGTTTCTGAGTGCGGTTTCGGGAAGAGCTGTGCTGGTGTTCTCCCTGATCCTGCCGGACAAGAAGTATGTCACTGTGAACGAGCCACAGAGAATAGGGTCTGCAAAAGACGCAAATCCTTCATAACGGCACCCCCCCCGAGGCAGCTTGAGTCAATGTGCTGGCTTGTTCCCTTGTCCTCTCTTCTTCTTGTCCTCGTGGTGAACAAAGTGGTTTGTGACGCCACCTCGCTGCGCTCTGAGCCCCTCTCAAGGCCCCTCAGGGCTCGGGTGGTTTGGGTTATGGCGGTGGAGGGACCCGGATGGCCCTGTGCGCCCAAGCACGAGCTCCGACGGGCCCGGGCTGGCACGGGGCACTTTCAGGGGGCTTATAGAATTCCTTGGGCCCACTGCTGGTCATCCATCTGGAGTGCGTCTGTGACGTGGGGTTACAGACCTTGGTGCTCTTGGCATTCCGTGGGCACATTTGTTCCCAGGCGTTTGACCAAGCAGTGGCCAAGGATGTGTACCTGGCTGTCGGCTTCTTCCAGCGAGGAGTGGCCAACTTCCAGCTGGAGAGGTGAGCACGGGCCCCTGGCTCCTCTCCTGCGGGCCATCTCCTCCGGGACGGGAGCGGGACGGCGGCAGAGCCACAGGGCCTCTCATCTCTGCGGGGTGGGGTGCAGATGCTGCAGGCGCCCCCCACTTTGCTCCTCGCCACGTCGTCTGCTGTAGCAGGACCACTGTGGAGACCAAGGGCAGAGGGGCGTGGGGTCCGCCCTGTTCACCAGGCTGCCTGCACCGCTGCCTTCCCAGAGACAGGCCCGGCCCCCAGGATGAGCCCCACGGGGCCCCATGCTGGGCACAAGGCCCAGCCTGCAGCCTCTCTGGAGGGGGGGGATGGTGGGTGGGGACCTTGCAGCAGGGAGTGGGGGTCCTGAGAAGCAGGAGGGAAATGGCCAGGGCACAGCTGGGGTACCAGAGGGGGTCTGGGGTGCAGACAGGGGCAGGGGAGGGAGATGCCCAGAACGCAGAGCTAGGCCTGAGCTGGGCACCACCCCACACTCCAAATGTAACCATGTCTGCACACTGACCCCTTGAGGGCTCTGTGGGGACTTGAGTAACTGCCACTGCCCCCAGCAGGTGTCCCTGGAGCTCTGGGTCAGGGGGAGGTGGGGATGGAGCCAGGCCCCTTTCCCCACTGACGGCCCCTGCCCCCCCCCCCCCCGCTGCCTGCAGGTCCCAGGAGGCCCTGTCCGACTTCCAGGTGGCCCTGGCCCAGCTGCGGGGGAACTCGGCCATCGACTACACACAGCTGGGCCTGCACTTCAAGCTGCAGGCCTGGGAGGTAGGCCAGGGGGGCCTGCGGGACTGCTGTCCAGAGGTGGGTGGCCCGGGTGGTCCTTCGAGGTCCTCGGTTCCTGCAAACCCCCTCCTCTGGGTCCTGTTGTCTTCCACCTGGTTACTGTCACAGGTGGGGCTGTGGACAGAGGCTCCCTCTGGCCAGGGTACCCCCTGGACCCTGCTGGTTATCCCCCCACCCCGGGGAGGCTGGGGCCTGGCGGGGTGGGGATGCCAGAATCACTTCCCGCCAGGAGAGCGGGGTGAGTGAAGGCAGCCTCGCTAGGGGACAGTGTGGGCACTGAGGGAGGGGCACTGGGAAGAAGCCCCAAATACCCGGCAACCCAGAAACACGCTGTCATGAAGCCCTCCGGGGACTGTGGAGGAAGGTGCACTGGGGCGGGTCCACAGACCCCCCCGTGTCCCCCAGCCCAGGGCACTGAGCAAGGCAGGGGATTCCCACTGGGCCCTGTCTCGGCGTCCCTAGAGGGTGGCCAGCTGGCTTCAGGAGCGTGGTGTCCCCCATGGGCCACAGGGACAGAGCCCACGGTCCCTGGCCAGTCCCTGCTGCCCAACCCCGTGTCCTTTCACACGGGAGGACAGGACAGGACAGGACAGAGGGCCACACCCCGGAGATGGGCCAGAGCGACAGACCGCGGGGTGGGGGGCATCCTGGGGTACGAATCCCCCGAGTCGGGCCGGCTCCGCGTGGCTGGGCCTCAGCAACCGTGGGGCCCAGAGGTGGGACGGGGGAGGGGACCCTGGCCGCCGCCCACACTCACCTGGCCCAGGTGCTATTCAACGTGGCAGCGACGCAGTGCCGGCTGGGACTCTGGGCCGAGGCCGCCCGCAGCCTGGAGGACGCCGTCTCCAAGGGGCCGGAAGGCGCCCGCCGGGACCTGGGCGGGGCCCTGGCCCAAGTGCAGGTGAGGGGCGGGCGAGGGGAACCAGGCCGGCTGCTGCCCCCCGGCTCCTGAGCCGACTCAGAGCTACTCGTGGGGCCCAGTGCTCACACACGTACAGACCCCCACAGGACCACCTAGGGGTAGGTGCGGAGGCCCAGGTGACCCCATGTGCTCTGGAGCTCAGGGGCTGTGGCTGGTGTGGGCAGCCAGAGGTGGGGTTGGCCTCCCTCCAGGAACAGGGTACCCTGCAGCCTCGGAGTGTCCCCAGGGGCGAGGTCTTCCGGCCCCTGAGGCAGCACCTGGAGCACCTGAAGCCCATGGATTTCCTGGGCAAGGCCAAGGTAAGGAGGCAGCTTCTTGCTTCTCGGGCCCTAGGCACTTGGGGGCCAGAGACGGACAGGCGGCCAGGCCTGTGCTGAGTTCTCAGGGGCAGGCGGGCCCGGTGCACGTCCCGCACGGGCCCTGCTGGGTGGACGGCGGGCACGGGGCTGGGGGCACGTTTTCAGATGGGGCTCACAGACTTGGGACCTCAAAACCAGGGGCAGAGCAGGGGCCCCGGTGCTGCCATGGCTCTGCCGGCTCCAGCAGCCCCTCCGAGTGCGAGGGCAGGGGTGGCCGCGCTGGGCTGGCCTGGCCACACTGCGCCCACTTGGGCCAGGCCGGCAGCACCGCCATCACAGGACACTGGGGAGCAGCCTGTCCCCAAGGACGGGGCGCAGGTGGGCAAGTGCGCCCCTGTGTGCTCAGAGGAAAAGTCGCTTTGGTTTTGGGCCGGTGGCTTTGGGCCAGCCGGACACTCCAAGGTCACCGCAGGCCAGTGCGCTGTGTGTGGCCGCCTGGGGCCCCCGGTGAGAGTGGGTGTCACAGACACGACAACCCTTCGCTATGACCCCTGGTGGAGGCCGGCCCGCTGGGTGGGGCAGGGGCTCTGGGTGGCATTAACCTATCACATTCGACTCGACTTTTCACAGTAGAAGACTTTCTAAGAAGCAAAAAAATGTTAAATCTGTACCATGAAAATAAGTTAAAACGATGAGCCTTCCTCCACCCAGCTTGTCTCCTCACCTGGCCGGCCCTTGGGCGGTCTGGCCCCGCCCAGCAGAGGGGAGGCTTGGGGCGCAGGCAGGCATCCAGGGCTGGGAAGCCCCGGGCCCCCGGGGGTGTGGCTGGGCACCTCCGACTCGGCCGTCCCTTTGCTGTCCCTCATCAGGTGGTGGTGGCCTCTGGCACTGGCCCTCAGCAGCCCCAGGTGGGTGGACACTGCCCCTCGGCCCAGCCCCTTTGCCCTGCGTCTTGCAGGTCAGAGCCCGAGATGCCCCGTGGAGGAGGCGGGGAGATGCCTGCTCTGAGCCCTGCCAGGACCCCCCAGCGCTCCTCTGGGCATTGGGGGTGGCTGTCCCGTCCCGTGGGGCAGTCTGAACACCAGTCTTGCCTGGGGGTGCACTGCTGGTCCCCCTGCCCTGCCCCTCACCCATGGGTGTCTGGGCGCTGAGCGAAATGTCGCTCTGTGCCCGCAGGTTCCGGACCAGGGTTGGGGAGCCAGGCCCAGGGCGGGCCCAAGGTAGGAAGGGGCGCCGCCCCTCCGCATGCTTGCTTCCTTTGGGGCAGCGGAGCCCGCTCGCCCGCGTGGCCACTCCTAGCTACAGGCCAGGACCACCACGTCCCCTTTTCAGCTTGGGACCAGCCAAAGCCCCTGGTGCGGGGGCGTCCGACCTCTCAGCCCTTCCTGTGGCCTGGCCCGTGCAGGGGCCCAGGGCACCCTCTGTCCCGGGCCTGTGCCGCCACCCTCTGACCGCCGCTCAGGCCCCGGTGGGCTCCAGGCAGCAGGCGGGGTGGGGGCACGGGCTGGGCCGTGTCTCCCCTGAACAGCCACCCCACTGCCACAGCTGGGCCTGGAGGGCGGCTGCTGCCACCGGAAGCGTTGACGGTCTCGTGGGGTGGGGGCAGGCCCCTCACCTCGCCCCCTGAATCACTGCACTCAGGGCCCCCCTGAGGCCCACCTTTGGTAGAGCCCTTGACTGCGGAGGCAGCGGGTGGGCTGCGCTGGGGGAGGTGAGCCCTGAGGACGGGGCGCCCTCCCCGCAGGGCCCACGACACAGGCCCCCGCGGAGTCAGCACGCCCCTGGGCCCCAGGACGCCCCCCAGCGCAGCCATGGAGGTCGGATCTGGACAGGCAGCAGGGCGGGCTGACCACCACGTGCCTGACACCGAGGCTGAGCAGGTGAGTGGGCCGGGCGAGGGGCCGGGGCCGCAGTACCAGGAGGACCCCCCACTCCAGGCTGAGTGTGGGGACCAGTGGCCACAGCCGGCACCACAAGGGTCTCAGGCTGGGCAGACCGCCTCCTCGCCTGTCCCCCACGTCCCTGCTGTGGGCCGTCCCTGCCTCAGTCAGGCCCCGTCCCCCGGCCTCCCCTACTGGACACGGGTTGGCCCCAGGCCCTGGGCTTTGGCCGAGGAGAGAGGGACAGGGGCCTCACTTCCTGCCGCTCGAGGAAGGGGCGGTTGCACATTCAGTTTATCGAAGACCCGAGGGGAGGGAGTTGCTGTCCCTGAAGCTCCCACCTCCCCTGGCCCCCACCCACGGCCCCACTCGTGGCTTCCCTTGCAGAGACCCCACCGGGAGCAGGCTGGCCAGCAGGCTCCTGTGGGTAAGGGCGTCCTGCCTGCTGTGCTGGGTGGGAACAGGCCTCGGGGGAGGGGTTGCGGGAGCAGGCAATGGTCAGACAGGGAAGCTGGCGGCCTCCCTGTGGGCGGGGCTGGCAGCTCCTCCAAAATGCTCCCCGATGGCCAGCTGAGCCCCTCCTTTATCCCCCTCATCAGGGCGGCCGGCGGCTGGGCGGCCAGACCGAGAGTCCTCTGAAGACCCGGTGGGTGCTGGGGTGAGAGGTCCTTACTTCCCAGGAGTGAGGGGGCCCCAAGATCAGTCCGTCCCTGAGTGGCCCCAGGGGTCCCAGCTAAGAAGCTGTACAGTCCCTTAGACCCAGCCCCTTCCACCCTCCCAGTACGGGACCTCACCACGTCCCCTGCCCCTGGGCCCAAAGCTGCCCATGGCCCCGAAGATCTGGGGCCTCAGAGACCCGCCATCTTTCTGCCCAGCCCCAGGGAGTGGCCGTCACGGTGCAGTGTGCCTTCACCCTGGCCCTGGAGGCCCCGAGAGGAGCCAGCCTGTCCAGCCTGCGGGCCCTGCTGTGCAAGGCCCTCCCTGCCCAGGCCCGGTGCGGGCAGCTCAGGTGGGCCCCTCTCAGCCCAGGGAGGGGGCACCGGGGCCATGGTACCAGAGGCTGTGGTGCCAGAGTCGGCAGCCGCCCACAGCCCTGGCCTGCACAGGCCGGCAGCCCCTTGCTGGCCACGCTGATGGGCCCCTTTGCAGTTACCGAGAGCCTGGTGAGAGTGGGCGCTGGGTCCCCCTGCTCGAGGGGCAGGTGCCGCAGCCGGCCTGGCAGGACGCGGCTTCTGGCCCTGCAGGGCTGCAGCTCCGGTGCCAGGTGAGCCTCAGGAAGCCAGGGCCTGGGCCAGCGTGGGGCGGTCTTGGGAAGGACCCTCTGGTGCCAGCTGACCCTGCAGTGTCCCTCTGCCACAGGCAGTAGACGGCCGGCCTGTCCTCTGCCAGGTGGTGGCCCAGCACAGCTACTCTGCCGAGCGGCCTGAGGACTTGGACCTGCAGCCGGGCGACGCTGTGGACGTCCTGTGTGAAGGTGGGGCAGGCGGCGCCCTCTCCCCCTCACCTGCTGGGGCCACCGGGGCAGGCAGGGTCTGGGAGCGGACCTGGCATCAGGCCCCGTCCCCTGCAGTGGACCGGGCGTGGCTGGAGGGCCACTGTGATGGCCGAGTTGGCATCTTCCCCAAGTGCTTCGTGGTCCCGGCCGGCCACCTGCGTGAGGAGCGCCGGCGGCCGTGTCGACACCAGCCCTGACAACCGCCGTGGCAGGCGAGAGGGTTTTAATAAAAGCTTCCCCTCGAGGCCGGGGTGTGTTCTGGGCGTGGTCACTTCGAGGCCTGACTGAGGGCATGGGGTGGGGCCGCTCCAGAGACCCCTTCTTCCTCGGCTCCAGGCGGGGCCTCCCCCGGCCTCCTCCTGAGGATGCTGGGCCCCCTGCCTGCCCCCCCAGGGAGTTGGGCCCCCTCTGCTCCGGCCATCAGTCCCCTCTCCTGGGCTTGACCCAGCGCATAGTCCCTCCAGTGCCCGGCAGGCCTGGCAGTGGGCAGCTGTGCAGGAAGTACCCGCTGCCCCGGAAAGCACAGTGGAGGGGACCCAGGTGCCCGGACAGAGACGCCACTGGTGAGGAGGCTCCAGTGGGGGCCACGGCACCGCCTCCTCGGCCAGAGCAACTCAGGTCAGAGCCCCCAGGACCAGCCCCCTCCGAGGCCGCACGGTCAGGGGCTCGGAGAGGTCCCGGCCAGCGCCGGCATCCGGGCTGGGTGGCCCAGCTGGGTGCTTAGTCCCGGGGCCAGAGCAGCAGGGCGGCGGCAGCAGTGAGGATGGCCCCGAGGGTCAGCACCACAAAGGTGACACCGGCCACCCAGACGCCGTAGCTCTGCGCCCGCCACTGGGCAGGCGCCTCCGCCGGGATCATCTTGGTCAGGTTCAGCATGTAGCCCAGCGTCCAGCCGATGTCGGTGCCATCGGCCTGGGGGACACACGGGCGGTCAGGGCTGTGGCGGGCTGTCCCCAACCCTGATCCACCCTTCCTGGGACTGGGAGGGAGCCACCTGCTTGCGGAACTCGATGCTGGGCCAGGTGCGCTCGCTGAACCCGTAGCCGTCCACCAGGAGCGTGAGGATGTACAGGCCGGAGGCGCAGTAGTCACGCAGCTGGCTGTCCTGCCCGGCCGCGGCCTCCTCCACCTGGGCCGAGAGGGCCAGCAGCCAGGTGAAGCCACGCCTCCTGGGCCGCCGGGGCCGGTCCTCTCTTCCACACCTCCCCCAACCCCAGTGGTCACGCTGTCTGGGGTGGGGTCCCCCAGTCCCCGCTCGGACAAGCGGTGGCCCGGGCGGCCCCCGGGGCACCCACCTGCCTCCAGGTTTTCTGGCAGAACTCCCAGACGGTGGTGTTGGCAGTGGCCAGCGACTGCCCAGAGGTGAGGTTCAGGAAGTGGAAGGTGTAGTAGAAGCTGGAGAAAGCCTGTGGGGGGACAGGCCTCTGTGCACAGGTGTCTCTGTGCTGGGGCAGCGCCAGTCTCCCCTCCCCACGCCGGGCGCAGAGTCCCCAAGAGCCCAGAGTCCTGGGTCCGCCTGGTCCCGGGCCCCAGGGGCTCACATAGAACGGGCCCAGCACGGGGGGCTGGTAGACCCCATTGAAAGCGCAGTCTCCTCGGCCCTCGCAGCTGGAGAAGTTGAAGAGCTCCCGGATGGCTGAGACACAGGCCCTGGGGTTCCCGGTCCCTTCCACGGTCAGGTTCGGGGGCAGGTGGGGGAGGGCTGTGGCCTGCACACAAGGCGACTCAAACAGGTGGGCCAGGGACAGTGTGTCCTGGTAGCCACTGTGGTAGCAGGGGTGGCGGACCAGGTGGGAGGGGCTTCTCTGCAGAGAAGGCGGGAGGTAGCCCTGAGCACCTGCCAGGGAGCAGGGGCTCGGCCGTCGGGTCCCCTCCCCCGGGAGAGCCCACCTGCACCAGCTGGGCCAGGAGCCTGTTCAGCATCTCACTGCGCCCAAAGCAGGGGTAGCTGTGGGTGTAGACACTGTGCTCAAAGCCGTAGAGGCGGAAGGTGGCCTGCGTGCTCTTGTCCTGAACGGGGCCTCCGGGCACGAAGGTGATCTGGGTGGAGGCCCCACCCAAGTCCAGGGCGCCCACCAGCGTCCCCTCTGGAGGCCGGATCCACTCTCCAGAGAAAGAGCACTGAGCACACACACAGGCACTGTGTGGACCGGCCGGGTCGGGCCAGTCCTGCTCCTCCAGCCCCCGCCCCGGGGCCGCCCACCCACCTTGACCAGCAAGCCCAGGACATAGTTAATGGTGATCCAACCGAAGGCACCTTCGTCCTGACCAGGCAGGAGCTCAGCACCCCAGAAGTCGAGGGGGGCTCGGCCCAGGGCCTGGGTGACCGCTGCGAAGATGGCCGCTGCCTGAGAGCTGTTCTTCTGGCTGCGAGGGAGAGGGAGCGGGGCTGAGGTCTTCAGGGGGCCTGCCCGCCTGTCCACCCGCCCACCTGCCCTCGGGGAGTGCCGGCCCCCACCTGAGCAGCCTCATGCCGGCTGTGGCCCCCAGGAACATCGGCGTTTGCTGGTGCTGGGCTGCTGGGATCACGGCCAGCGCCTCCTCCAGGCAGCCCTCCAGGCTCTCGCCGGCCTGGGCGGGGTCGGAGGCATACGAGGAGAGGCCAGGCCCTGAAACACAGCACTCTGGGACCAGGCTGCAGGCCCAGAAGGCTGGCTGGGCTGAGAGGGCCTGCGGGGGTTGGACAGTGGTCCCCAAAAGGTGTGTCCATGTCGCCTCACCGCCCCCTAGAACCTTCCAGCATGGCCTTCTTTGTGAAAAAGTCTTTGCAGACGTCAGTAGGGGCCTCAAGCTGATTCTCCTGGATTCCCCTAGGGGACCCCCGTGGTGGGACAGGGCCCTCATGAGAGAACGGAGAGGGGACTGAGACCCAGGGAGGCAGCCCTGCAGGGGCAGGCAGGAGGGGACCACAGCTGCAGGAACCCCAGGCGTCCCCGAAGCCGGAGGAGGCAGGACCGCAGGCTCAGGCGGGGCCCCACCATCCGGACTCCAGGAGGCCCTGGCAGGCTCTGGCCCCGCCCCGCCCTGACTGGCCGTGCCACCTGGGGCAGCCCACTCGACCTCCGGAAGTCCCTTTAGGGTGACCCGCCCAGGGATGGACACCAGCCTGCGCTGCCTCCTAGCCCCGCCCAGCAGGGAGGCCCAGTCGGCAGGGCCCCCGACATCGCCCACCTTTGGCAGACTGGCCCACTGACCTGTCACCCTGCAGGCCAGGGCCTGGCTGACCACACCCGTGTCGTTCTCCTTGTCTGCCGGCCACCGATACACGAAGAGGGATGTGTGGGAGGACCCTGCGTCCAGCACGACCCCAAACTGGGAGGGACACGGGGTTCAGGATGGCGCAGGCCTGGCCCCTCCCGCCCCCGGCCCAGGGACTGGGAGCACACCTTGGTGTCCGTGGGCAGCAGGACATCGGTGGCCTCCACCAGGATGAGAATGAGTGTGGTCAGGGCCGAGGCTGCAGTGACGCCCAGCAGGGCCGTGAGGACCCACTCCTTGCAGGTCAGCCTCATGGTGGGGGCAGGGCTGCACCTGGGGGCATAAGGCAATGGCGGGCAGCAGCGGGCAGACCCCGCCACCTGGCGCTCCTGGGGCGCAGCGGTGCTCACCAGGTGAAAGGGCAGGGCTGAAGGCCACGCCTGGGAGCCTGGGCGGGGCAGGTTTGGAGGGGATGTGCGCACCAGGCACCTGGAGGCCCACCACGCCCGCCCAGGGCGGCCCCTTTCTGACGCTGCCCTGAGGCAGCACCAGTGGCGCTGCCTGCCCGGCCCTCGCGGTGCCCGGGCCCGAAACCCTGCTCCCCTCCTGCCTCGCTCCCAGCTCTGCGGTCAGCTCTGGGCTGAACTTCCAGGCCCAGGACACCAGCTCCCGCCCACCTGCCTCCTCTCCGGGCCCCACCCTTAGGGCCCCCCCAGGAGGGGCTTTCTCTGGGGCCCTGAGGTCGAGCCTGAACCGGTGGGCGCCGGGGGACCTCCCGTGGCCCAGGTGGTGGGGGCGGTGGGGCCGAGGGAAGCACATCTTCTCACAAAAGGACCTGGAGGCGGAGTTGACAAACATCTGGTTTCTGCTTGAAAACCCCACCTGCGGGGTCTCTGCGTTGAAACTTTTTGGCTGGCCCCGGATGGCCCCGGCGCTGGCCGCCGCTGACCCAGGAACACAGGGCTCTCAAGCTGGCCGTGCTTTCGGGGTTACCAGGAGCCTGGGGCCGGCACCACTGCCCAGGGAAGCCGATCTCCAGGTGGCAGCACTCTGGGGTCACGGGGTTTTGTATCATATCTCCTGTCCCTGCGCTTTGTCCAGGCCTCTGGCCGTGGGGACTGCCACCGGCCATGTGGCTCTGATCCCAGAGGGAAGATGGGGGTGCGGAGAAGACAGGCGACCTGCTTGAGCTACAGTCAGGAGAGGCCTCGAGGGGACCAGCCTGTGTCGTCAACCAGCGCGCAGGCCACAGGCCACCTCTCACCTCACAGTGACAAAGAAGTGGGTGCCAGGCAGGTGCCAGGGACACCAGGACCCCATGTCACACCCCACCTGCAGGGGATGCACCAGGTGAGCCCCAAGCCTGAGCTCCCCCCAGACCAGGACAGACCACCCCAGACCAGGACAGCACCCCCAGACCAGAACAACGCCCCCAGACCAGGACAGGCCACCCCAGACCAGAACAGCGCCCCAAACCAGGGCAGCACTCACCTGACTGGTACAGATTCGCCCAGACCAGGACGGAGCCCTGGACCAGAAAAGCCCCCTTACCTGGGCCGGTGGGCAGCCGCTGCAGCGAGCAGAAGGCTGGCCTGCTCTCTCAGGCACCGGCCAGGTTCTGTCCAGCCTGCCTCTCCCTCCCGGTCCCAACCCCCTCTGCCCCCGCCCGCCAGTTACTCACCAGCCTCCCGGATCTGGGTCTGCAGCCAGGAGGGTGGCGGAGCCTGAAGCAGGCGAGCTGCTGGCCAGAGCCGCCCACCCCGAGTGGCAGCCCACGCCCAGCGCACAGACCAGCGACCGGGTCTCAGTGGAATGGGGCTCCGGCCCCTGCCCAGGGTCATCCCCTCACTGCTGAGGGTCCCTCCAGGCCCCTGCCGCCCAGGGGTGTCACCCCCTCTGCCCGCCCTGCCTCGGGACCACAGCCGGTGGGCCCCGCCTCTCCTTGGCCGGTGCTGGACTTCACCCTCTGACCCTCCCCTCCCCCCGCCAGAGGCTGAGTGCCAGGGCAGGTCAGTCAGGTGACCAGGAAAGGTGGAAGGCCCAGGCTCAGCCAGAGCAAAGGCCAGGAGGCGGCCCAGCCTGTTGTGCAGTCTGTCCTCAGGGGCGAGAGCGCCGGGCGGTGGGGCGCTGCACACAGAGGACCGCAACCTGGTCGCCCCTTTGTGCACAGCCGCCTCGGGGCCCTCCTGGCCCGGAGCCCCTGTGGCCGAGCCCCTGGCTGCCCCACTGCAGGTACCAGCCCCCTTTCAGCAGCCGTCTTTGGGATCCCGGGGGTGGACGGAGCCTGGTTTCTTCCACTCAGCACGTGGCCAAGACCCACTGGCTACTGTGGGTGCCCAGCACCCCCCCTCTGCACCCAGCTGAGGCCAACTGCACGGCCGGCCGCCCCTGTCCAAGGCATTTCTAGACCCTCCACTTTCTTTCTTTCTTTTCTTTTTTTTTAAGATTTTTATTTATTTTTAGAGAGAGGAAAAGGGAAGGAGGGAGGGAGAGAAACATCAGTGTTTGGTTGCCTCTCATGCAGCCCCTACAGGAATCTGGCCTGCAACCCAGGCCTGTGCCCTGACTGGGAATCGAACTGGAGACCGTTTGGTTCACAGGCCGGCACTCAGCCCAGTGAGCTACAGCAGCTGGGACTACTTACTTATTTTTTGGCAAAGCAAATCTTTGCTGCCTGCCACCTAAGAGCATAACAATTGTGTACAGGATGTGATAGTTGCTCATGAACAACTTACACACAATAAGCCAATGCGTTTACTGTGCTGTATGTTTCTGCCCTCACTTCAGGATGCACTTTGTCTGCCTCTCAAAAAAACGTGTGCTGTAGGGACAGCAGGTCGCGGTGCACCAGTGGCAGCCTCATCCGTCTGGTGTTCGCTGCGTCTCGTCCACATCGTCTGTCTTGCGGGGGATTTAATCTCGGGCTGTCGGGCTCGGCGTGGCCCCTAGGCGTTCGCCCACTGACTGGTAGGGCGTGCATGGCCGTGTGAGGTGCGGGGCTTAGGCCCAGGTGCACTCTCTCTGCAGTGGATAAGCGCTGCTTGCAGACACTGCCCTTGCTCTGTGAGCGCCTTCCCATCCTTGCACGAATGGCCATGTTTGTACCGGTTTTTTTTTTAAGATTTTTTAAATTTATTTATCTTTAGAGGGGAAGGGAAGGAGAGAGGGGAAGAAACATCAATGTATGGTTGCCTTTCGTGCACCCCCTGCTGGGAACTGGCCTGCAGGGAACCTGCCTGCAACCCTGGCATGTGCCCTGACTGGGAATCGGACCGCGATTGTCTGGTTCGCAGGCCCGCGCTCAATCCACTGAGCTACACCAGCCAGGGTTGTACCGTTCTATTTCTGACCCACAATCGCGACTGTCTCAATCGCTGCAGCCAACTACTAAGTGTTAATATTCTGCAGTGTGAGTCCTCCAACCTTGTTCTTCTTTTCTGATGTTGTTCTAGCTGTTTTAATTCCTCTGCCCTTCCATATATAAAAAATATACTCCTGAAATTTTGATTGGCGTTATGTTAAATCTGTGATCCCTTAACGGAGAATTGGTATTTTACACTTTTGAGTTTTCCAACCTAAGAACACAATTTATAAAGGATTTAGATGTTTAAATTTTTTTTCCACCAGCATTTTCTAGTTTCCAGAATAAGATCCAGTACGTCTTTATAATTTGAGACTTCCAATCAAGATGGAGGTGCAGGCAACCACCCTCTGACTCCTTACACAATGACAGCAAAAATGACAACTAGACTACAGAACAAATGCCACCCAGACTCATCAGAAAATTGAGCCGTATGGAAGTCCGACAAGCAAAGATTTAAAGAAGCCACATTTATCCGGACTGGTAGGACAGGCGGAGATGTGGCGATGTGCCGAAAGGAGCGGACACGTACGGGGAGGCATGGAGATGCGAAACCGACGGTCCCACAGCCACGTGTGGTGGATAAAAATCAGGAGGGACACCTCGGGAGCGAGGGGTTCCAGCCTCGCACCAGACCACCCAAGCCCAGGGTCCCAGCACCAGGAAAATAAGTTCCCATAACTTCTGGCTGTGAAAACCAGTGGGGGTTGGGGCATCGGAAGAAACTGCAGGATTCTCAGCGGAAGAAACTGAAGACTCCTCTTATGGGGCCTGAAATAGACTTGGGACTTGCACAGACCCACCCCCTCTGGGATTCAGCACCAGGGCAACAGGTGGAGGGGCACCAGTGACCCACGGGGAGACACCGAAGTGACTGGCAACAGGGCCAGCGCTAGGCTTCCTCCCGGAAGAGGCCAGGTAGCGACATTGCCCCTCCCATGAGCCCTCCCCCCACTGCTGAGAACGACAGATGATGGACACGGGACTCCCTGCGCTGGTGGTCACCTAAAGTTCTGCCTCTCACAATTTACAGGTGCTTTTCTACAGGAGGCCATGCTACTAAGACAGGGAGTTAAAGCAGCTCTACCCACTACCCACAGAAACACACATGGGGACGCTGCCATATTGAAAAGACAAAGAAACACGGCCCAAATGAAAGAACAGATCAAAACTCCAGAGAAAGGGCTAAACGAAATGGAGATCAATCTATCAGACGCGGAGTTGAAAACCCTGGTGATCAGGATGCTCAAAGAACTCACTGGGTATTTCAACGGCATAAAAATACCCAGGCGGAAATGTAGGCTACATTACATTACAAAGTTTACAGGGAACCAACAGTGGAGGGGATGAAGCCGATAATCAGAGGAATGATTTGGAGCATAAGGAAGAAAAAAACAATCAGAACAGCAAGAAGAAAAAAATAATTCAAAAAAACAAGGACAGGCTCAGGAGCCTCTGGGACATCTTCAAATGTACCAACGTCCAAATCAAAGGGGTGTCAGAGGGAGAAGAGGAAGGGCAAGAAATCAAACACTGATTTGAAAAAATAATGAAAGAAAGTTTCCTTCATTTGGCAAAAGAAATAGACATTCAAGTCCAGGAAGCACAGAGAGTCCCAAACAAGTTGGACCCAGAGAGGACCACACTAAGACCCATCACAGCTAAAATGCCAAAAATTAAAGATAAAGAGAGAACCGAGAACCTTAAAAGCAGCAAGAAAAAGGCAGAGAGTGGCCTACAAAGGAGTTTCCTTAAGACTATCAGCTGATGTCTGAAAAGAAACTTCGCAGGCTAGAACGGACTGGCAAGAAATATTCAAAGGCATGCAAACCAGGGACCTACAGCCAAGGTTGCTCCGCCCAGCAAAGCCATCAAAGGGCAGATAAAGAGCTTCCCAGACAAGACAAAGCTAAAGGAGTCTTTTCTGGGAAGCCTTTTCTTGAAGGAGTTCATCATCGCTAAGCCATTATTACATGAAACTTGCAAAGGGACTTATTTAAGAAAAAGAAAATCAAAAGTATGAACATTAAAATCACAACAAACTCACAACTATCCTATCAACAACTGAATCTAAAAAAAAAAAACAAACTAAGCAAACAACCAGAAGAGAAACAGAATTATAGCTATGGAGAGCATTTATTTGGAGGGTTACCCGCTGGGAGGGGGAATGGGGAGAACGGGGTGGGGGCAACAGGCAGGGATCAGAAGTACAAATTGGTAGGTGCAGCATAGGCAGGGATATTAAGAACAGTATAGGCAACAGAGTAACCAAAGAACTTATATGCATGACCCATGGACCTGAACTAAAGGAGGGGGATTGCTAGAAGGACGGGGGTACCAGGCAGAAGGGGGAAAAGAGGAAAATGTGGACAACTGTAACGGCATAATCAATAAAATATATTTTAGAACCTTAATTTACTTAAACTAGGAAAAAACCAGTTGACCCGTTTCCCTCACTTTCACCCCCCACATATCGCAACTACCAGTCTCTCCTCCCTGTTAGCTCTTCCTTGTCCGGTCCCACACACAGGAGGTCGCACAGCCTTTGTCTCCGCACCATGCTCTCAAGGCTCCTCCATGTTGTCGCGAATGGCACGGCTTCCTTCTTTTTTTAAGGCCAAGCAGAAGGTCCGTGGCGTACACGGGCCACGTCTTCTTTATTCATCATCAGTCAGTGAACATTTGGGTTGTTTCTATATCTTAGCTGCTGTGATTGATGAGGGTGTGGATACCTTTTTGAATTCGTGTTTTTGTTTTCTTCAGACAAATAATCAAAAGTGGGGTTGCTGGGCCATAGCGCAGCTCCGTTTACATTTTGTGAGGAGTCTCTGTATGGTTCCCGTAGTGGCGGCACCAGTGCGCACTCCCCGCGACTGGGCACGAGGGCCCCTCCTCGCTCCCACGTGCGGCAATGCCCGTCGCGTGTCTTCCTGGTGATGCGCGTTCTAACCGGTGTGAGGTGGCGCATCCGCCTTTCCCTGACGATCAGCGGCGCTGAGCAGCTTTTCTTGTGCCTGTGGGCAACCTGTACGTCTTCGGGAAAATGTCTATTCAGATCACCATAAACAAAACGCAACTAGGTACGATGTCACCAGAAAGGATCTGAGAAGAGGAAGGACTCCCATCTTGTGCGGGACTCATGGTCAGGAGCAACGGAGGGCGTTGTGTTTTACGAGGAGAAAGAAGTCGAAGCGCGGGGCTCCAGGCACTCGGTTTCGGACAAGGGCAGGGCTCTCCCGGCTCCTCCCACGGGCCCTCCGGAGTCCACCCTAGGTTAGGGTGTCTGTCATTAATTTTGACAAGACCTTCTGTGTATTTTTTTCACTGGATAGTGAGGTTTATTTATTTATTTATTTATTGAGAGGAAGGGACAGACATCGATTTTCCACGTACTCACACATTCACTGGTTGATTCTTGTATGTGTCCTGACTGAGAATCGAACCTGCAACCTTGCCACATTAGGTTGATGCTCTCACCAACTGAGCAACCCAGCCAGGGATGCTCTTTTTTTTTTTTTTTTTAAGATTTTATTTATTTATTTATTTATTTATTTATTTATCTTTAGAGGGGAAGGAGAGAGGGAGAGAAACATCAATGTATGGTTGCCTTTTGTGCATCCCCTGCTGGGAAGTGGCCTGCAGGGAACCGGTCTGCAACCCCAGGAATATGCCCTGACTGGGAACCGAACCACGATCCTCTGGTTCGCAGGCCTGTGCTCAATCCACTGAGCTACGCCAGCCAGGGCTTAGGATGCTCATTTTTAAATCGGATTATTTTTTATTGTCCTTCTCTACTGGGTATCAGCCCCTTACCAGACAGACGATTTGCGATGACTTCCTCCCATTCGGTAACTGTGCTTCATTGTCTGGACGGTTTCCTCGGCTGTGCCGCAGCTGCTTCAGCTGGGTGTGGTCCCACCTGTCTGTTGCTGCTTTCACTTGGGTGTCAGATTTAAAAAGTCACTACCAAGACTGATGTCAAGGACTCTCGCCTATGTTTTCTCCTTGTTTTATGGTTTCGGGTCTCAGGTTCAAGTCTTTAACCCTCCTGTGTTAATTTCTGTGTGTGGTGTAAGACTACGGGTCTAGTTTTCACACCATTTATTGAAGAGATTGCCCTTCCCCCACTGCTTACTTTGGCTCCTTTCTCACAAATAAAGTGACTGTCTATACAAGCACAGGTTTATTTCTGGGTTCTCTGATCCACTAACATGTTTTTACACCAATACCGTACTTTGTAATACAGTTTGAAATCGAGATGAAATGCCTCCAACTTTGTGCTTCTTTCTTAAGATTGCTTTGGCTATTTGGGGACTTTTGTAGTTTCAGACAAATGTTAGATTTGTTTGTTCTATTTTCTTAAAAAATGCCATTAGAAATTTAATAGGGATTGCACTTAACCTGTATATTGCTTTGCATGGCATCAACATTTTAACATTAACCCTTCCAACCTATGAGCACAGAATATCTTTCCATTTGTCGGTGTCTTCAATTGTTTCATTAATGTCTTACAGTTTTCAATGTACATGTCTTTTGCCCTCTAAGTTCAATTTATCTGTAGGTATTTTATTTTCTGATGCAACTATAAAATTGTTTTCTTAATTTCTGAAAGTTCATTATTAATGTAAAAAAAGTAACAGACTTTTGTGTGCTGATTTTGTATCCTGCAACTTTGCCAAACTTATTAGTTCTAGCAGTCTCTGGTGGAGTCTTTAGGTTTTTCTGTAGATAATATTACACCACCTGCAAGTAGGGAGTTTTACTTCTTCCTTTTTAATTGGGAAATCGTTCATTTCTTTGTCTTGCCTAACTGCTCTGGCTAGGCCTTCCGACACTATGCTCAACAAAAGCGGCGAGCATCCTTGTCTTGTTCCCGCTCTTAGAGAAAAACCTTTCGGCTTAGCACCACTGAGACCGCCGTGAGCTGTGAGCGTGTGGTGTATGGGCCTTGTTATGCGGAGGTTCCCTATACAGCTCCTTTTTGGAGACTTGTGGAGTTTTGCCCGTTTTTCTCCGTCTGTTGCAATAGACGCTATGATTTGCACCTTTACTTTTGAATATGCTGTGTATCACACTGACGTGGAATCATCCTCGAATCTCTGGACAGCGAACTACCCTTTCAACGTATTGTTGAATTCAGTTTGCTAATATTTTGTTGAGGGCTTTGGCATCTAGTTCACCAGGGATATTGGCCTGTAATTTTCTTTTTTGTGGCATCCTTGTCTGGCTTTGGTATCAGAGTTAATGCTGGTCTCATAAAGTGCGTTTGGAAGAGTTCCACCTCTTCTGTTTTTAAAGAACAGTTTTAGAGGGAATGGTATCAATTCTTTGAATGTTGATAGAATCGCCAGTGAAGTCATGTGGTCCTGGACTTGTTTTCTGGGAGGTTTTTGATGACTGATTCCACCTCCCCGCTAGTGACCAGTCTGTCCAGACTGTTTCACCACCATTCACTGTATTTAAGTTGTCGCCAGGTTCTTTTCCAAACAGACGAGAGCAGTTCACGTTACCTGTCCCCCATGTGTTCACCGGCACGGGGCACCAACACCCTTTCGATTTTTCTGCCAGACCGGCAGGTAAGAGGTAATGCCTCATTCCTTTGCTGTCCATGACTCGATTCTGAGGGGCCAAGACCCTCTGCGCATGTGCCAGCTGCGTGGTCTCCCCTCTGTGAGCTGTCTCTTCAGACCTTTGTCCACGTTTCCTGTTGGTTGCTGCGTTTCCCATATTAGCACACAGAAGACTGCTCACATGTTAAGGCCTTAACCTGCTCTCCCTCACAGGTTGCATGTATTTCCCCCCGACCACCTCTGGCTGCTGCCTGTTCATGTTTCTCAAGCAGGGCGGGCGGACAGGCCACCCCGGGGGGTCCCTGTGCTGCCCCCACCCAGCCTGCCATCACCTTCCTGGTTTTCTGCTTTCCCCAAAATGCTTTTCCGTGTTTGTACTTCGCTGGGGACCGAGCACCTTCTGGGTTTGCCTTCTTTTCCTCCATCACACTTCTCCTCAGTGGTCACAGGTAGGAAAACAGAATCTTGTGAACCCGAACTCAAGACCTCGAGCCCCCTGTTGGTGGACCCTCCCAGCTCTTACCCACGGCGGCTGACCCCCGGGACCGTGGGAGGACACACTGAAGCAGCCCCAACCCTGGACTGCAGGGTCCCCATCAGAGGCCAGACAAGGGGAAGGGCCATGTCGCCAAGCTCCTGGCTGGTCTGGGGTCAGGACTGCAGGCGACAGGGTAAGCACCCCCCCCCCCCCCCCCGTGCATATGGTGTTCAGGTGGGCGGGTCGCGCTCGGGGGAGCGTTCTGCCTACGCAGGCCTGCGCTGGTTTTTGTCTACAAATGGAGATTCTGGTAGTTCCGCTGAGCCCAAGCCTGCAGGGCGGGGAGCCACGTCGGGCCTCAGGAACTGAGTGTGCAGAGGGCCCCGAATCACGGGACTTTGTGGTGAGAGACTTCATAAGCCAAACTATGTACACAGGTATGTGGTGTTAAATCTAAACCCTTAAAAGTTCACCTATTCAAGTTTGTACCAAGCCTTCTGCTCCCCCATCCAGCCCCAGCTGGGACGCCCTGGGAACCGGTGCAGCAGGGCTGCTTTCAGGCTGTGAGGCCCACCCTGGGAAGGGCTGCTTACCCCCAGGTCGCAGGTAACCCTCCAGGCTGCACCCATGCCACCCACTGGAGGCCTCTCCCTACCCTCAGCCCCTGGTGGCCTTGGATGAGCCCAGCTGGTACCAGTTGCTCCCTTCCTAGGCCACCAGACTGGGAACCACTGGAGCAGGCAGGCCCGGCTACGCCTTTAACGGTTCAATCTCTAGGGCTTGAATGGCAATGGGCATGTCTGGGAAAGACAGACTAAGGGAGACCAGCTGGTCTTGCGGTCACTTCCTAGCCTTGTGCTGTGGCCAGACTGACCACAGGGGCCCTGATGGGGTGGCGGTCCCCTGCTCAGTGGCTGGGGCTCAGTCGGCTCTCAACTCTGGCCCTCGCTAAACCCCTTTCCAGGGCCACATGCCCTACTTCCCCGCAGCTGTCTCCAGGACCAGGCCCTCCGGGAGCCCTGGAGCCCGCCCCCCACCCTCTCGTGGAGTGTGCCCTTGTTTGGGGAGGTCTAGAAGCCCAGCACCCGGACCCAGGCGGGGTGTGCAGGCGGCCCCCACAGCAGAGCCCTCAGAGCAGCGGGCCCAGCAGCTCCGGGGCCTAGGGAGGCAACCGTGCTGAGAGACTCACAGGGCGGCGCTGAGAGAAGGACCCGCGGGCCGCCGCAGCAGAGGGTCAGGTTTAATGGTCACTCTACGGGGTATCGTACATGGTTAGAGCCCGCACATCCCCGCCCTCCTCGGCCAGGGACACAGCCAGGTGCCCTCAGGCCCAGGCTCTGCAAAGGGGGGCCTGCCCCCGAGCCCCAGCTATATATACAAGAGCGCCACCCCACCCACCAGCAGCTCGCCCTCCGCCTGGGAGGCAGGGTCCGGGGTCCGGGCCCCCGGCGGGGCCGCGGGGTCTCACACGCGCGGGGCGCAGCCCCGACTGGCCCGCACGGCCCCTTCCCTCTGCCGGGAGGGCCCGCTGGGCAGCAGCAGCGTGGGCGGGGCGAGCACGCTGGGCCCCGGCGCCTCCGGCTGCGGGGCGGGGCAGGGGGCGCGCTCCCGTGGGACCCCCAGGAGGACACCAGCCCAGGGCGCACTCCGCTCGGACGGGCCGGCGGGGGCCGGCGGAGGGGCGCACGCGAGCCGAGCCGACTGGGGCTGGGCGCGGCCCTGTGCTGGTGATGGGTTCGGCAGGGCCGGCGCGGGACCAGGACGCGCACGCACTACACGAGCTCACAAGGGACGGGAAGAAATGGCACTTGTTCTGCGGCCGCGGGATGCTCCCGCCGGCTGAGGACTCGACCGGGAACCTGAGCGGTGAGGCTGCCCTGAGGTGCCTGAGTCAGGACCGGCGGGCGCCCCAGGACCCGAGCGGCGGCCCTGCCCTCACAGCACGTCCTCGAAGTCCAGCAGCTTCGAGTGCTGACGGCTCTTCCACAGGCGGTACAGCCGGAAGTCGAAGTACGTCTCGATCATCTGCTTCCCTGAGGAGGCGGGCGGGGCGGGGCTCAGGATGGAGATGAGAGGGGCGTGGCCAGGGCGGGGCCAGGACAGAAGGGCGTAGCCCAGGGTACAGGGCGGATGGGAAGGGAGGGGCTCAGGAGGCATAAGGGGCGGGGCCGGAGCTCGGGGGCGGGGTTCTAGCTCAGGGTGGAGCTGGGGGAGGGGCGCTGCCTCCAAGACCCCACCCGGAGGGCTGGGTATCAGCCTGAAAAACTCACCTTGGGCTGACAGCTCCAGCGGGGACTCAAAGATGACCCTGTAAGGGGTCATGAGGGTCCTGAGATTCTGGAACAGCTGAATGGAGGGGACAGAACCATGAGTCCAGGGCAGGGGTGGTCATTTGAGGGCATGATGCAAAGAGGGGGCAGGAACCCTCACCACTGGCTGGGCTAAGACATAAGGGGCTTCTCTGGGAGGCTGAAGGAAGAGGGAAGGGGAATCCCAGGAGAAACACGGTGGGTGGGGTAATTCTATCCACTCTCCTCATGGGACAGGGGTCTCCAGAAGCCTGGGTGGGGCTTGAGGGTCCCTGTACCTTCTCCCCATTGGGGTTCCCCAGAATGTAGCAGCCCATGATGTGGATGACGTTTGGCTCTGGGTTCACTTTGCTCATCAAGCGGCTCAACCGCTTCCAGAAGCTGGCGAGGGAGGGGCACGTCACAGGTGGTCTCCAACCCAGGCCCCCAGGTGTGAGCAGAGACGGCCCAGGGCCCAAGACAGGAGCCTCCTGGTGAGGGGACTGTGGGGTTGGTGCAGAGGACACTGCCTCCAGCCCCGCTCCCAGGCCCAGGGCCAGCCCCGCCCACTCACTGGATCATGTCTTCTTCCTTCTCCACTTTGGCGAAGGTGGCCACCTTGTTCTTGAGCAGGTACAGGTGTCCTGGGCCTCCCTGTAAGAGACGATGGTCAGCCTGGAAGTCTGCGCACACCAGGCATCCATCCACGGCTGCCCCCAACACACACACGTGCAGGGAGGCGGCACCCTCGGCTTGCCCCTCCAACCCCCACTCCCCGGCAGGGAGGCATGTGGCCCTACCTGGCAGAATATGAGCATCTTCCAGATCTTGGCACCCTTGTGGTAGATGTTCAGCTTCTTCTCTATCTCCTCTGGGGAAGGAGGGGTGAGCACTGCCCCCAGGGCTCCCTACGGCCTGCGCACACCCAGCCCCCCGAGGATGGTGGGGACGGAGGGCACATACCCAGGATGTCCTCGAAGGTCGCGTGCTCGTGGTCCTGAGACAGACACAGGCCACACCGAAGTCAGGGCCACGCCCAGGCCGCACCCACACCGGGCCCTGGGGGACAGGCGGGGGGCACTCACGTAGAGAATGGGGATGATGGAAGGGTCGTCCCTGCGGATGATGGTGGGGATGTACTCGGCCTTGGGCACCTTGGAGGAGATGAGCTGGGGATGACACACAGAGCTGCTCAGGGACGGTCCGGCCGCCTCAGAGCTGAGGGGCAGCAGGAGCCCCTGTGAGGTGGACCCCCGACCCCTGCAGTGGAGACACCCCCGGGCAGCCCACAGGGGAGGCCGGTGAGAAACCACCCCCATCCTCCTGGGCGGCCCCCAGTGGCTGCCTCAATCCCAGACACAGAGAGTTGGGTTCCCAGCGCCAAAGGACCCCCCTGCCCAGAACGGCTGGAGAAGCCCAGGGGCCAGTCCTCACCATGACCTTGGGTGGCAGGAAGCCCTCGGTGTCACAGGCCACAGCCTCCAGGCCCTTCTCAGTCTCCCAGTCCAGGTCCTCGAAGGCCTCACCCAAGGTGCAGTGCGAACTCTGCAGGTCACTACCTGAAGGGCAGGTGGGTCACCTGGGCTGGGGACCACCAGCTGAGGCTCCGGGAGGTGGGCGGTGGCCGGAGCTGGTGAGCCGAGATGTTCTCCAGGCCAGCGAGGAACACAGGGTGGTAGAGGGCGCAGGACCAGGTCGCCGCCAGCCGGGCAAGACTGGCCCGTTCAGGGGCCAGAAGCTGCCTGACTGGGAAGGCCAACGGGCCCCAGAGCAAGGCTGGGGGGACCCCTCTGGGATGCAAATGTCAGCTCTGGTGCCCTGGACCAATGAGGAGCTGAGCATCGCAGCCCCCCTCAGGCCAGGCAGCGAGCGAAGGCCTACAGGTGACCCTGCTCAGCGCCACCACAGCATGAGCTCTGTCTGCGAGGCTAGAAGTGCCAGAGCACCCTAGTTTACTCAGATGGGTAAACTGAGGCTCAGAGTGCAGAAGCGCAGAAGCTGCCCCAGCAGGGGACCTGCCCCGGGAGCCTAGGGGGAGCCTCCAGGAGACAGGGGCTGGCCTGTGCGGGGCACCTACTGTCTCGGGAGTCGTGGGAAGTGTCGGCTTTCATGGGGGTGGGGTCGCTCCAGGACCGGCTGAAGCTCCGCTCGCGCCGCTCTGCGAACGCTGCAGTGGAAGCAACACCCGCGTTAGCCGCGGGGGTGGGGCCTGAAGGGGCAAGATGTGGGCTGGGCAGATGGCCATAGGGGACTGGCTAGGGGCGGTCTAAGAGCTCCGGGCGACGCCAATGCAGGACCGGGCAGGGTGGTGGTGGTGGGTGTTGGGGCTATAGATGGAGTCTGGAGGTGCTGGGGTGGTACTAGGGATGGAGTTGGGGAGGGCCAAGCGCTGGACCGAGGGGCAGAGCCGGAGGACACCAGTGGGTACAGGTGACGGTGGGAGGAGTCAGGGCTGCCAGGGCAGGGCTAGAGATGGAGCCTGGGGTCCCAGGCAGGGCTGGGGGAGTCTGAGTCCTGCACTGGGGCGGTAATCGCTGGTGGAGTGGAGCTGGGTCTGGGGCCTAGGTGGTCTTCCCCGGCACAGCGAGCAGCGAACAAAGCCTGGCCAGGCAGGAGCAGGCCCCGCCCCCCCCCCGCGCCCCGCCCCCCCTTACTCTGGGCCTTCACCCTCCGGCTGCCGACCATGCGCAGGTGTTTCCGGAAGTTCCTGGGAAGAAAGCATCAGGGGCTGCGGAGGGCTGGAGAGGGGGTGGCAGCGGCCCTCCCCCCCCCCCCCCCGCCCCACTGTCCCTTACCGCCCCAGCCAGGCACAGTCCGTGGCGCTGCCCCCTCTTTAGCGAGAGATGCTCTCCCAGCGCCCCTGAACTTGTCCACTGGCCCAGCGCCCACCCAGTCCTCTCCTACTGAGACCCTTCCAGGGCTCACCCTTTTGCTGCCTGGACAAAGGCACAATGACCAAGCCTTCTTGGGCGACCCCACCATCTGTCCCTTGGTGACTCAGGGCGCCCAGCCTGCCACCACCCCTTCACGCCCTCCCAGTCCCTCCTTGGGTCCGGGCCAGCCTCCCTCCCCACGTGGCCGAGGGCTCCTGCCTCCTGCACTCGGCTGGGCAGTGCCGCTGTCTACACCCCCCCAGATAGATGTGGGGCTGGCAGGCAATGCCCCTCCCCACCACTATGCTCCCGGACCACCTCGGAGGCAGGTTTCTTGGCCCCCAAACTTTGTGCCCTGACAATGCCCTATTCCAAGACGGGCAGACAGCTCCTAGGTGTGTCTCTGAGATAGGGATCGGGGAGGGGAAGCCTGGCCACTGACCCCACAGCTCTGGGCTTCGAGAGCCAGAGAGACAACTGTCCACGTGCCCCCAAAACAAAAGCCTGGGGGGCCCAGGCTACATGGCTCCCCCGGCCCCCGCGTCCCCAGGGCAGGGCCAGGCCAGCGGTCGCCACCACCCTTCCCCCATCCGGGCTGCGGGGGCCGGGGGCCCAGGCCAGACCAGCACGGACAAGAGACGACCCTGGTGGCGAGTGGCCGGCAGGCCCTACCTCTGGATCACAGACGCGGAGTCGCTCTCCCGTTTCCGACGCTTCCTCTCCGCGTAGCCCCTGAACACCCTGGGGAACCGCCGGGAGTCAGCGCTGCCCTCGGCCGTGGGCAGAGGGACAGACACAAGAGGACAGACGCACGAGAACGGGGACCAGTGGGGCACTCGGGGTGCTGGACCTGGCGGAGGGACCCTGGCTGCCTTGCCCTGTCTGGGCCTGGCCCCTGCAGCCTCCATGCGAGCCGGGAGACAGCACTCCCTCACGGTCTAGGCCCTGGTGCCTGGCCTGCCCAGACCTACTGGGGGCAGGAGGGCCGCCCAGGGACAGCTGTGTGCCCTTTGGCACCTCGAGGTCCCACGGAGTACTTACGAGATGCTGGAAGTGCGGCCGGAAGGGGCAGCGTGGGAGAGAAGACACAATGAGCCTCGACCCCTCAGCCCCCCAAGCTCCCTGTGGTCAGTTCCCTCCTTGTGCTCGACTCAGGGTCCCTCACAAGCACCCGGGCGCCAGCGAGGCGCTGCACACTGTGGCCAGCCCCTGAAAGGGCAGAGGACCCTGCGGTCACCACGGCCCCGGCCACCAGGTGCTGCATCCGGTGGCCTGGCTGCCCCGCCGGCCCTGGGGCCAGAGGGTGCCACTTCCTGTGCCCAGGGCAGTAGCCTGTGCTTCGGGACTGAATTCAGTGTGGGGCGCACCACAGCAAAGGGTGCCGTCCCCGGAAGGAACCCCCAAACGGGAGACCCAGATGCGTGCGGCACGTGCGGGTCTCTCGTGGCCCACGTGGGACACCAGCAGGCTGCCTGCCTGTGGCATGTGTGAGGGCAGAGCCGGGTGACACAGGCCCAGAAGAGCCACCCCCGCTGGTGACTGTGAGCTGCAGCCTCCAGCTCACCCCACAGACAAGACAGGACGAACAGACAGGAGGAACTGTGAGGAACGGGGGAGGGCGGGGGCTGGAAGAGCAGCTGGCCCTGCCGTCCTGCAGGCCAACACCACGCCTGGGCACGTGGGCTGCTCAGAAACAGCCACCCAGGTGGCCCTGGGGCAGGGGCAAGGTCCGGGAGGCGGCCCCGGCCAGGCCCTGCACGGCGGGCCGGGACTCACGCTTGCATGGTTGTGGTCGCGGTCTGGAAACTGAACAGGCTTTCCTTGGGGAACCAGGTTCGGATAGGGGTGTGGCTGCCATCTGGAAGAGACCGAGGGAGCAGTGGCCAGGGTGGCCTGGGCATCCTCCTGGGGAGGGGGGTGCTGGGGTGGAGCCAGCGGAGGTCAACGGGGTCACGAGGCAACGCGTGCCCACACGTGCCCCAGCCACTGGGGCCCAGACAGCTTGGAGGCTCCGAGGCGCTTCGCTGGTCCTCCTTGCTCAGCTCCCCTCTGGCTGCCCACAGTGAGGGGTGCTCCTTTGGGAGCGCAGCCTGTTCTGGGGAAGGGTCACTGTCTCCCTTTGGGAAGGAGGGCCCAGCAGGGACAATGGCTGACGCCCCTCCTGGGGCTCCAGGGCCTTCTCCGAAGCAAGGACGCTCTAGAGTAAGCTCGGCCAGACCTGTCCTTCCCCAGACCCTTCCAGGAGGGCTCGGTGAAGACCCTCGGGGAGCATGGAGACCCTACAGCTGCTAGAGGAGGGGGAGGAGGGGGAGGGTTGAATTGGCTCAACCCTCTCACCTGGATCCCTACTGAAGCCCTTGCCTGCATCCCTTGGAGGAGCACGAGGTCGTACACGTGAACTGCCTGCACCCCAGGCCTAGGCCGACTGCAGACTTGGAAGCCCAGCAGGTGTCCTTGGGGGACGTGGCAGCTGGTTAGAGCTCTGCTTTTCAGCAAGTGGCCTCAGAGCCAGAGGCACAGGGCTGCTTGACCACCCAAGGAAGCCTTTGCAAGACACGCAGGCCTCTGGGTCGCCAGCACCCACACAGCCCAACAATCCCAGGGAGAAACCCACCGGCTGGCAAGGCCCCAAACAGCTGAGTGTGCACTGAGGTAAGCAGAGCCCTGCTTGGTGGGCCTGGGGCAGGGTTGTGCCCCAGGACGACCCAGAGGCAGCCCAGCCTTCCAACTAAGCTACATTTTCTACCTGCTCAATTCTCAAGATCCTCCCAGGTCCCCTCCTATGGGAAGCTGTCTTTGATTGACTTGGTACTGGCAGGACCAAAGCCAACTGTGGAGCATGAGACAGGACAGCAGGATTCAACCTGCATGCTGTGACCCGGGCACCGTCCCCCTGTCCAAGCCTCACGATGGCTGCTGCTGGCAGATGCGGCACCGGCGCTCCGCCCATCCTCCCCATGCCCACGACATGCCCCTCACCAGACACACGGTCGACGCTGTACATCCTCTCCAGCTTCTTGCGGCGGCTGGTGGTCTGGGGCAGAGAGGACTGGTCCAGCGCAAAGGCCCGAGGGGAGGGGCCCGGGGCAAGCTGGGCGCATCCTGGACACTCCTTGGAACCCTGGCGGCTGCCTGCCCAGCTCTGGCAGGGCGTGCTGACGTCCTCACAGCTGCCACCAGGGCTGGCACGCAGGGGCTGGCCGTGGTGGTGGTGGTGGTGGTGGTGGGGGTGCTGCTCCCGGCTGCGCCGCCCCTTCACCACGCCCAGCTCGATGGCCTCCGCCTCGGGGCTGGGCAGCAGGGCCGGCTCCCCCGAGATGGTGTACACGCGGGGCTGCGGGCCCTCCCCGGCCGGCCGCCCGAGGACCGCCTCCTCGGAGAGGCTGCCGTCGCAGCGGCCGTCGGAGACGGCGGAGAGGCGGCGCTTGTTCTGGGGGGGTGGCTGCATCTCCGGGGACCCGTCGTGGCCAGAGTAGGCGTCGGCCAGCAGGTGGTCTGGGGAAGAGGCCCAGGTGAGCCGGGGCCTGAAGGCTGTGCCCTTCCACTTTCCTGGTGCTCGGCCGGCAGAAAACCCCAACGGGGCTCCGGCCCAGCGTGGAGCCTGCGGCTCCCCCCAGCCCTGCTGACCAAACTCTCATCCCTGCATCTTCAGAGCCCGTTTCCCTGAGCTCCTCCCAGAGGCTCCCCGCTGCCTCCTTTCTGGGCCCCAAGCCCCTCCTCGCGTGTGTGGGTGTTGAGGGGCAGGAAGGAGCAGACCCCTCCTAGCCTGCCGCTGTGCTCCTGTGCCCAATGCCAACGTCTCCCCTCCCCCCGACCAGCTGGCCCCCAGAGACAGTGGTGCCAACCCTGGGGGGTGCCAGGAGGCCTGTTGCCATGCCAACGGCCCAGGCTGGGTGGGTGCCATGGTGATGGGTGACTTGAGCTCCTGCTGGGGCTCTGGGCCAGGCCAGGCAGGGGGATGAGGAAGCTGGCCGGCAAGGCAGCTGCTGGGCTCACCCCCACAGCGCCCAGGGCGTGCGGGCCGGCCTGGAGCAGAGGCAGTGACCCGGCCGGAGGGACGGGGGCTGTGGACGGACTCCACGCCAGCAATGCTTCCCGAGCCCCTACCTGCACCGTTCCGGTTCTCAGGGTGACTCTGGGACAGGTACTCGCCGAAAGCTCGGGCGGCTCTGAAGGGCGGACAGCGGAGCGCCGTCAGTGCACAGCCCTCCTCCCCATCACCCCGGCCTCGCCCGCACACGAGCGTGGGTCCCCACCCTGGCCTCAGACCGTGGCACCAGAGGGGTCGGGGTCCCTCAAAACCGGCACTCCCACCCAACGCAAACAGCCCGGGGCAGGCGGGTCGCGGTTGCCTGGACCCTGGGGTCCCAGTGCCCTGTGACTACACCTGCAGAGCGGCCCTGGCCAGGTCCTGGGGGCACCTGTCACCCAGCGCACGCGGGGGTGAGGTCTCCGCGAGGGCGCCTGCGGGGGCGGGGTGGGGGCGGGGAGCCGGCGCAGCCGGAGCGCTCACCGCACTTTGGCTGCCACGGAGGACATGGCTTCGCTTCTCAGCGCCCTCCTCCGGGAGGCGGCGGCGCCCATTGTTGAGGCGGCGGCACATCCCCGGCCTCAGAGCGCGCCCCGCGCCCGCCGCCTCTGCCAGAGCAGCCGCCAGGTGCAGGGGCTCCGGCCGGGGACCCGCATGGCTGTGCCGGGCCCTCCACGTCCCGCACCCGGCACCGCGGCCGGACCCGGGAGCCGCTCCGCCCTCCGCTACGTGAGAGGCGGGACGTTTTCCATGACGTCAGTGAGCCCGGGGCTCTGGTCACCTGGGCATGAGGACCTCAGTGGCAGCTCCGCCAACGCCCCAGGGTGTGGCGGGGCCAGGCGCGGCCACCGGGGCGCTCAGGGAGCCGGAAGCAGGCAGTCCGGTCTTCGCGGGTGCCCAGGCCCAGGCCCTCCCTGCCCCGCGCGGACCCGTATCCCCCGCTCGGAGACTTGCAGGGCCGGTGGGGTCCAAAGTCACTGGGCCAGCAGTTCTCCCTCCTTTGGTACAAAAGCGCCCCCGCATCCCTGGCGCTATTTAAAGACAGGTGACGGCAAGTGTGGGCATCCCGTGTCTTGGGAGCATCCTGTGTGTCCCAGTAACCCATCACGAGAGGCTCATCCTCGGTTTGGTGGACCCCAGCTCATTCCAGACCTCGGGCACCTCCCTGCTCTGTCTGGAACTCCTCGCCCAGGGTTCTCAAGGCCCAGCAGTAGGGCATCTGGGGCCCTACAGGCCCCATGTGGAGCCCTCCCGGGAGGGCAGACAAGGCCACGTCCACCTGGGTCGCAGTGATGCAGGCCTGCCTGTGGCCAGCGATGGGGACAGTGGCCAGCTGGCTCCAGCCAGGCCCTTCTCGGCATCACTCTTGGCACAAGGACCTCGGCGCGGGCAGCACACTCCACACAGTCGCATCTGCCTTTATTGACGAGCGAGGTGGGAGCATCTGGACTCTGGTGTCTCCCAGGGGCCCTGGGACTCGCCGGGCCGGCGGCTCCCAGAGCCACTGTGTGGCCAGGGGTGCCAGTGAGGGGAGGCAGCCACGCCAGTGCAGCCCCTGGCCCAGCTAGGTCCCCTGCCCCCAGAGCCGTGGTGTCCGGCACAGGCCCACAGGCTGGCTGGCTTCAGGGGCCTCGGAGGAGGCCTCTACCGGTTCAGGTCAGAGCGCCAGGGGGCCGAGGCATCCTGGGGCGGTCTGGGGGAATCCAGACGGGCGTGTTGCTGGCGAAGCGAGGGTTCGTCCTCCTGGAAGCAGACCGCGCCGTCAAGGTGGGGACAAGCTGGAGGACTGGCCCCGGGGCAGGGGGGTGACTCTCCGGCCCTGGCCTGCGAGGGACCCTCAGAGCCCACAGGCGCAGGCTGCTCACCAAGTCAGAGCCCTCGTCGGCCGGGGCACTCTGGAAGTCAGCGTAGGCGTCCTGGGAGCCGTCCGCCAGCCCCTCCTCGCACTCGGTCAGCGAGTCGGACTCGTCTAGGCAGAGGGGGCTTTGTCGGTCCCTCCCCAGGGCAGGAGTCATCCTGCAGTGGTGGGCAGGTCCCCAGCCCCAGCCACCAGGTCCCAGGGCGCCTGCTGAGTGTGCCAAGGATCTGGAACACTGCCGCCAGCACCTGTGGCTGTGTGGGTGCGCGTCCCACGTGTCCCACTCACCGTCCACCACGGCCACCTTGGCCGGCTCGATGCGCGACACGATCTCTGCGAGGTCGGTGAAGGAGGCATTAGGGCAGGTGGGGACCTGCAGGGGGAGGCGGAGGACACGTCCAGCCCAAGCCACTGCTCCCCGCACCCCTGCCACAGCCCCTCTGGGCCCCCTGTGGCCCTAGCTTGCTGAGGACCCTCAGCCCCCAGAGTAGGGGCAGGGGCAAGAAAAAGGGCAGAGTCCTGAGCAGACGCCCACGGAGACCACCATCCTCTCTGGAGGGTTAGAGAGGGACCTCGGGGCAGAGGCTGAGAGACAGACCCCAAAGCTGCTGCCTGCCTTTGACTTTGTCTTCTCGCCCATGGGGGCCTCTCCAAGGGGCTGCAGGGAGCAGGGTACCTGTCTGGGGTGGCTCAGAGGAGGACAGGTCACAGGAGGAGACAGGGAGAGGGGTGCCCGCTGGGCACTCACATCGCCTGCCTTCATCTTGCTCGTGCCCTGCCGGTCCTGCAGCATCTTCTCCAGCACACCACCGCGCGCCCAGATGCCGAACACCGTGCGCCCGTGCTGGTACCCCACCTCCTGCACACAGAGGGGACCCGGGACCGGGTGCTGGGACCATTGCCTGTGCTCAGAGGGCAGGGGGTTGGGAAGAGGCAGGCGGACACTACGCCCCACTGGCCCTCACGCCCTGCCCCCACTCACGCAGATCTCGGTGAACTTGCCGAAGTCCAGGGTGCCGTAGCTGTCGATGGGCGGGCGCAGGTACTCACAGTAGTCGCTGCTCCGCACCAGCTCCAGCTGCCGCACGCAGCACACGTAGGCCAGGCGCGACTGGATCTCCGCCATGTTCAACACCTGCCACCACACAGCTGCCTGCGTCGCACACCCACACCCGGGGTCACCCCGCCCCAGGGGACGTGTGGCTCTCCCCCGGCCCTTTCCCCAGAGCCCGTCCCTGGCAAGCAGGAGGCGTGGGGAGGCTGCGAGGAGCGCGGCAACAGGGCCCGCCAAGCCCAGGCTGCGCCCCCACCTTGACTTTGGTGGCCAAGGGGTTCCAGCGCTTCCACAGCAGCCACCACCCAGACAGTGCGTCGCCGTAGTTGGTGAGGTCCGTCTCATCCCGGCTGCCCACGTCGATGGCGATCACCACCTTTGCCCCCATCGATCTGGCCACGTCCGCTGGGAAAGAGGCAGCCCTGTCACCACTGGGACAGGCACACGGTGCCCCAGGTGGGAACAGAGCCTGCCCGACAGGCCGTGAGGCCAGCACAGTGCACGGCACTGTCCAACAGGTGACAGGTGTGCCAAGACGGGGCCCCCCCACAGCACGCTGCTCCCTGCCTCTCCTTGGCCCCGGCTCTGAGGACCGCTGAGCTGACAAACGAGCCATATGCTGGACTCACGGCGCCAGGGTGTGCGCGCGCGTGTGTGCTCTCCGCTCCGAGCCAGCCTCTGACTTCCCTTGGCTCACGCCGAGGGAAACGTGTGCCAGCCCTACAGGAGCGGGGGCGGCGGCGGTACCTGGCAGGTTGTTGATGTAGCCCCCGTCCATCAGCAGGTGTCCGTCCTTGGGGTCGCAGAGCGGGGGCATGTAGCCCGACAGGGACATGCTGGCGCGCACGTACCTCCACAGGGAGCCTGGGAGGGGTCCGAAGTGGGGGAGGCTGCCGGACACGCCCAGGGCAGGAGAGGAGCCTCCCTGGCTACACGTTCCTGCCCTGTGCCCTCGGCTCACGGCCTGGCCTGCGAGGAGTCCCAGGGCCTACGCGTCCCGTCTCTGGTCAGAGCTCTGGGCCTGGACACACCCGAACGTCACCCTCCCCAAAGCCCCCAAGAAAGCCAGGCGTGCTCCAGGGCACCCCCACGTGCCAATGCCAGGCGCCAACACTGGGTGCCAAGCCTTCAGCCGGCCCCTCCCCACATCCGTAGACACACTCTGGCAGCTCCAGAAACACTGCCGGGACCAGGCCTCAGTGCGACTCGCAACACAGCGCCCTCCTCAGGCCCACCTCTGTCTCAGCCACGGCCAGCGCCAACCAACTATTCCCGTGACCTGAGTGGGCCCTTCACTCTCTCTCCATCCAGTTCACTCGTCATCTCCTCCTCTCAGAGTCTTTCTTTTTGGCCTTCTAGGGGTCTCTGGGCTCCTGGCTATCTCCCCAATACCCTGCTTGCCATGTGCACCACACAGCATCTCCGAGCTCGGACCCCCCGCACACACACGCATGGAGTCCCTGGGCTCTCTGCCCAGGGAAGGGCCCTGCGCAGGAGCCCCCGCTGGGGGGCAGGTGCTCACCATCCGTATGGACCCGCATGGCTGAGGCTGAGATATCCGTGGTGATGGTGAAGTAGGGGAGCCACAGGTCCTGCGGGGGGAGGGGGGCTCAGCAGGTCTCCTGGCCGCCAGGACGAGGGGTAAGGCCAGGGGATGAGGGGTCTGAGCAGGGAGCACAGGCCAGGCAGGGGTCCCCATGCAGCCGGCAAGCACCTCAATCTGCCGGTCCTGGAAGACACTGCAGATACTGCTGTTGAAGCCGGCGCCAGAGAACATGGAGGTGATGGGGTAGGTCAGGTCCAGCACAGTCTTCACCACTGACGTCATGTCCTGGGAGGGGCACGGTGAGGCCTCAGGAAGACTCGCACCCCACTTGGTGGCACAGGCAGCAGGTGGCTTTCCGGGACCCAACAAGAGCCTGCCTCCCGGAAGGGTGCAGGGACATGGGCACATGCGTGTCCTTCCGTTAGCAGAATGAGGGTGTTGGGAAGCACCCTTAGGGTGGGCTCTCCGGGTGACCGGCATGCCCGGAGGTCCCAAGGGGACGTCACTGACCCCTGGTGTGGGTGGGGTGTGGTCAGTGAGCAGCGGGAGCTCCCGCCTTGGCCGCGAGGCCGCCCAGACGAAGGAGACCCGTGGAGTTCTTGCGGGAGGGGAGCTGCCCATGGGCTGGCTCAGGTCGGCCCTCACACTCTGCCGTGGCGGCCACCCCTCAGGCTCCCGGGAAGCAGCAGGCCTGCAAGGGCCTCACTGCCAGAGATGGCCCCCTTGGGGGCCCAGGGGCTGTCCTTCCTCCGTGTGGACAGGGCTAAGCTGGACCTGTGAGGGGCAGCACGTGTGACCAAACAGCAGTGCTGGCCTCACCCCAAGGACGCCCTGGTTCAAGGCCGCCTGACTTCTGAGGGGTCAGGGATGGAGAGGAAGGGTCCTCTGTGCCTGTGTACGGAGCTTGGGCTGGACGTGGGGGCGCTCACAGTGGCGTGTTGCCTGTCCCCAGGTGCCCACACTGGGAGGTGTGCAGACCTTGTCAGGGGGACACGTGCTCCTGGGGACAGGGGCCCAGGATGGCCTAGGTCATGCCCAGGGTCTTCCACAATCAGACCGGCCCTGTGCCAGAGGGCCCAGAGACAAACCGTGTGGCCCCCGCGACCACCCACCCCCTTGGCGTGCCAGGGGACACAGGCCGTGAGACCCCCTCAAGATGGCGAGACCCAAAGCTCCCTGGTGGTTCCCACATCTGCAACAGACAGGCGGGGGTGGGGTGGGGAGAGGCCTGGGACAGACCCTCCTGAGGCTGAGCACAGTGTCCCCTGCAGCTCCTGCTCCTGGAGGCCCGCAGGCTCAGGAAAGGGGGTCGCTGTGACAGTGCCCTCAGAGAGCCTGTGTGGAGGACCACCAGCCCCCCTTTCTTTCAAAGGGGGATGCAAACAGCTCTGATTCTGCTCACACTTTCAGCCTGAAAACAGGCAGAGCCTAAGAAGGGCAGACAGCGGCCGCACTCTCGGGTGGACCCTCAGCAGGCAGTGGTCCGGCCCCTCCCCTGCTGCGCCCCTCTGCTCCAGCCAGGCCTTAGCCCCTGGACTTGCCTGCTGCCTTCATCGATCACAGGTGCGGATGACGTTTTCTGCGTCTCTAGTGCCCTGGCATTTGGGGTCTTACAGACTGAGGGAGGGACAGTGCCCCAGGACTACCTAGTTGTTAGGGACGAAGGCCTGCCCTGGGGATCTCTCTTGCAAACTAACGAATGCGCAGCCCCCCACCCCTTCACAAAATCTCACAGCAAGCCACCATTTCTCAGCCCAGGGACCAGACACCTGGGCACAACGCCCAGGGCCCCAGCCACTGGAGGTGCTGATCCTAAACTGCTGAGCCTGCCATTCCCACAGACACCCAGGAAGGGCTCCTCCCTGCCTCCTGACGGGCGCTGGTGCTCCCCAGTGGCCTTGTGGGTTGGGGCGTGCCTCTCGTCTCCAGGGGAGCTGTGGGTGACACTGACCTCTCTATGCTGTCCTCAGGCACCTTTATAAACTGAGACCAGGCACCACCCTGGGCCAGCCCCCCAACACTGGAGTGGCCGCAGCCCGTGTGCACCCCCTCCCTGCTTCAAGCCACGCCCTGAGCCTGGAGCCCCGCCCAGCCGGGTGCAGGGCCAGTGGCCCCAGTGTGCTCCTGCCCCACCGGCCTTGCACCCCAGGACAGCTGAGGCCCCTACCTCAGCCCACTGCTTGGCCCGGATCCGAATCTGGCTGTAGTTCCGCTCCTCGGCATACAGGGCGCCCATGAAGGCCCCAATGGACGTCCCTCCGACCATGTCCACGGGAATGCCACACTCCGTCAGGGCTCGGATGACACCGACCTGGGCGCAGCCTCTGTGCCGCCCGGGAGCACACTGTGAGCGCCACCACCAGGGCTGGCCCCAGCCCGGTCCCACCCGGTCCTCTGCGGGGCTGCACAGAATAGGGACAGCCCGCCCAGCCTGGGAAAAGCCGGCCAAAGGCAGTGGTTCACACAGGTCACACAGTGGTTATAAGTAAAGGCAACGCGATGGAAGCTTCCGGACCCTGCTAGCAACCATCAACCTGAGGTCGCCACAGCTGGCCACGTGCTCTGAGACCGACAAAGCATGCGCACACTACGCCAGGGGCTGCGCATGCCCAGAGCATGCAGAGCAGGCACTCACCGTGCTCCGCCTCCTCCGAGCACCAGCGCGATGGCGTTTCCCGTCAGCACCCGCGCCAGCCGTGAGAAGTCCGAGTGCCGGTCTGGGGGTTTCTGGGAGAGCCGCTCGTACAGCTCCACCTGAGGGACGCCAGCGGCAGGGGCTGGGCTGCTCGTCGGACGCCACGGCTGTCCGACACCCACCGGCCAGCCTCCTCGGCAGCCACAGAGGGACGGGAAGCCCCAACCCCGGCTGAAACGCCCGGCCCGAGGGCGGAGAGCGCTGCGGGCAGAGACTCCAGGCGCGGATGCAGCTGTCAGGACGCTGGTACAGAGCTGGGGGGGGGGGGGCAGAGGGGCTGTGCACCCCCCTCCCCCAAAGGCAGGGGCCTCGGGGTTTGCATTCGCTTCTACAGGGAGCAGTGGCTCCGCTGAGCAGCCAGCAAGGCCCTCTGGAATCTCGGGCTCACCCCAACCCCGGGGCCCTGCCGGGCCGCAGCAACAGGGGGAGATCGGCGCCTCACCAGCTTGGGCAGGCTCCTCCGGGAGAACACGCGGCGGGGGCAGCGCAGGTGCAGGTGACCGGAGCACCAGCTGCGCATGTTGAGCCACTCGACGGTGCGTGCGGGCGCGGGTCCATCCTCCCGGTGCAGCAGGATCAGCTGCTTCTGGGCACGCACGGCCGCGCTCTCCAGCATCCGCTCCAGCTGCGGGGAGCAGAGCTGCGGTCAGGGGAGCCTGAAGGCCAGGATGGGACCAGGTGGCACCCCGGTTCTGTACACCAGCTGGGCTGTGGAGCCCTCTGTCCCTGGCTGTGAGGCTGTGGCCGGGGGTCTCCCCACCACCCACCCCTGCCACGCAGTGCACGGGCCACCTCCCAGAACACGGCCCCTTGGACACACACACGGAGACCTCAGATGATGAATTTTGCAAACACCCCCTGGCGAGGGAGCCTCATTGCCCGAGGAACAGGGACCCGCATCACTGAGGAGGGACTTCTAGCTGCCCCAGGATCAGGGCAGAAGCTTGAGATGAGAGCAGTGATGGAAAGCGGAAGGAGATGGAAGATGCCAGCTGAAGAGTGTCCATCTCTTACCCAGGAAGCAGGAAAGAGACAGGAGTGCCAGTGCCCAGAGTGGGGGACGTGGCTCCAGGCCTTCTGTGAACCTGGAGGCGACACGCTCCAGTCCAGGTGGGCCTGTGCAGGAAATGACCTCCCCCAGCCCACGGACCGGGGCAGACAGGTGGTGGGAACTCACAAACAGGGAGACTTCAAAATGACTTTAAAAAATAGGGCACTGTTTCTATAAAAGTTCGCCCTGTGAGGCAGAGCTGCCCACTCACAGCAACCGTGTGAAACCGGACAGAGGCTCCGACTTCACAAGAGGCCGTGGTGGGGGCAGGGGGTGAGCCGCTCTGCTCTGTGCTAAAACGGCTACTAAATGTAATATCTGGGTGTTAACTCTCACAACCCATCCTTTCCGAGTTCCTGAAATATTTCATTCAAAGGGAAGAGCAGCAGAGGCAGGCTCCCTGGCGTGTGTGCGCGCATGAGGAAAGAGTGGCCACCCCAGCCAGGACCTGCCCTGTTCCCATGGCTCTGTCCCACCCACAGCTCTGCCCTCTGCCCCGGGTGATCCACCTACCTCGCCCACGGTGGGCTCCTGCTCCCCCAAGCCCACGATGAGGATGCAGTCCGCCTGCCGGATGCAGCGCTGGGTCCAGGGCGTGAGCGTGCCGTCTGCCTGGTAGAGCACAATCCTGTGGATGTCCTCCTGCTGCCCCAACCAGCTGGACAGCCTGTACTCATGGATACTGGAAGACACGGACGTGGGGTCCTTGACAGGGTGGCGCATGGACGTGTTGGGGCACAAAGGGGCCACAGACATGGAGGGCAGACCACAAGGCAGACACAGGGCCCCGTGGGTGCAGAGCCTGGGGTGTGCAGACACAGTACGTTTCCAAACTGTGCTTGGACTGGCTGAGAGCCAGAAGCCAGTTGGTCTGTGACAAGCAGGTGGGGGTACCTGTCCAGAGCCGCAGAGCCGAGGCGCTGTTTTATGTTGTCGCTGGTCAGCAGCAGGACTGGGCCTGAAAACAGAGCCCCAGGTTACGGGAGACCTCCTGGCAGCAGGGCCCGTCCGCAGGGCCAGCCGCTGCCCCCAGCACGTCTGCCGCTCCTGAAGGCTGTATGTAGCCTTGCACCTGTCAACAAGGAAGTGCTTGTGACCTGAGGGGCGCCTCTGGGCAGGTGGGTCTGCATGGTGAGAAGTGGGTGCTGAGCCCCCAGAGTAGGGAGGACTGTACCTGCTCAGGGGCTCACCAGCCACAGGGACGGGCTTCTCTGAACTTCAGTCTCTTTCTCTATACACAAAGGGCTTGAAACTCTGAGGCACTGAGACTGTATGCTGGGGGCAGGGGACTCAGGTCATAAAGTGCAAGATAATACAATTTCTCGAATGCAGATCAGCGAGGCTGGCTGGATCCAGTGCTGTGCCGCCCACCAGGGCTGAGATGCACAACTTCTCACATTTGTGCCTTTGACAGCAGCAAGCATCTTCCATCTACGGCGTCTGAGCGCCCTCGTCTGCCAAGTGGTCAGGACCTGCCCAACCAGCACGGCCAGGGTCAGAATCCATGGAGAGGCTGCTGGGGCTCAGGACAGCAGCCAAGACAGCACAGTCTCGGACGGGCTGAGGAGGCCCCAGGTCTGACGGCGCGGCAGGAGTGCCGCCCGGCGCAGGGCTTCCTTCTTACCCTGCACTCACATCAAAGCTTCTCCAAGGGCATCTGATTAAAAGGTGAGGTAAGGAATTGCCCAAATAAAGGTGTGTCTACAATGGTGGCTGATTCACGTGGCAGAAGGCTTTGAGGGGGGGCTGGGGGAGGGTTCTATGCTGAGAGGAGCTGTCTGCCTCCTCCCCAGGGGGTGGGCCCTCCGGGCACTACAGGCACACATCTCGCCCACCCCTTGGACATCCAGGATGTGACCAGACAGGCAGGCATGTCTGACTGCAAAAGCACTGAGGAGCCCAGCCCTGAGACCCTCAGAGGACCTGGGCTGGGCCCCTACCTGTCCCTTGGTGCCTGTCTCCTGGACTTGGGGGGACTCTCCGAGGCCTCCAGGGGAGTGGGGAGCCCCCAAAGGTGGTGTTCTGGCCCCCACGGCACCATCTGCAGCTCCTGCCCATCAGGAATGGGGCGACCATCCCACCCACGAGGGGTCTGCCTGCAGCCCAGGTGGTGCAGGCCCAAGGCCCGAGGAGACACAGACACAGTGGCCACCAGCTGGGCCGCCCAACAGCTTCTCTCCCGAACCCTGGCAGCTGAAGGGGATGGAGCAACACCTACTGCGTGCTACAGGACGGTGGCTATTGGCTGAAGTCTTTGCTCAGCAAAAGCAGCCTTGAGAAGAGAGGGCTACTCGCATACATGGTCACCTGACTTGGCAGAGGTGGCCCAGCCAGGCCGGGGTCAGAGTTCAATCTTTCTAAATGAGGTTCTAGGTCAGCTGAAGAAACCAAGAGGCAAAGTGGATCTTGGCTACCTACTATCATGACCAAATCACAAAAATCAGCATCAAGATAGGAAAAAAATGGATAAACTGGCCTATATCAGAATCAAGAACTTCTGTTTGCCAAAAGACATCACTGAAAGAGAGGGAAAAAAAGCCACAGAGAAGGGACAGTACCTGCAGTATTTTCATCCAAAAAAGGAATTGTAACCAGATCACAGACAGAACTCTGCCATCGGCAGGAGAAGGTGGCACCCCAATGAAGAGGGGAGATGACATGACAGGCACTGGTGATGGAGGGCACCCCAGCGGCCAGGCAGCAAACTTCCCTGTCTCTGAGAACCGCACATCCCCGTGCACAGAGGCCCCGTGCGCGCGCTGAGGCGCACGGGGAGAAAGTCCGCCACGGCACGAACACGCGCTCTCCTCCAGGGCGCACAATGAGGCTTGATAAGCCGAAATCACACAGCGTCTCTTTCTTGATCACAGTGGTGTGAAACTAGAAACCAAGAACAGGAGGAAAGTGGAAGGCGTACAAGTGTGTGGAAGTTAAACAACATACGCTTACACGACCAATGGGTCAAAGTCTCAAGGAAAGTAGAAAAGACTTGAGCCCCAAGTACATGAGCGCGCAGCATTCCAGAGCTTCCCGGACGCATTGAAAGGAGGGCTGAGAAAGGAAGTCCTCAAATCAGCAACTTAGCTTTATACCTTGAGGAACTAGAAAAAGAACATCAGACTAAACTCATAACCGCCCTAGCTGGTATGGTGCAGTTGGCTGCAGCATTGTCCTATAACTGAAGGGTGGTAGGTTCAAATCCCGATCAGGGTACATACCTAGGTTGTGAGGAGATCCCCCGTCCAGGCGTCCGTGGGGGGCAACCAACTGATGCTTCTCTCTCACATTAATGTTTTTCTCTCCCCACCTCCTCTAAAAAGCAACGGAAAAAATGTCCTCAAGTGAGGACTAAAAAAATTAATAAAATAATAAAATAGAGGAGGTGGGGAGATTAGAGATAAAATAGAGAAAAAATTAGAGATAAAATAGAGAAAATAAATGAAACCCAAAGTTGGTTCTTTGAAAGAAGCAACAGAAATGACAAATGTTTAGCAAGATGAATAAAGAAAAAAAGAAGATTCAAATCACTACAATAAGTGGCGGACCATTACCGACTTCACAGAAATAAAAGGGAGCATGAGAACACTATGGGTAACTGTCGGGATTACCCAATACCAACAAATTGTATAATCCGGGCGAAACGGACAGACTTCTAGGAACACAAGACCTACCGAGAGTGGATCATGGAAACCTCCACAGACCTGTCACAGGTACAAAGATCGAACCAGTAAAGATGAGAACGAAACCAACAAAGAACAGCCCTGGACGCGAGGGCTTCCCTGGTGAATTCCATCAGATATTTAAAGTAAAATGAACACCGGTCGGTCCTCCTCAGACTCTACTGAAATGCAGAGGGGAAGGGGCCCTCCCCACCCCGCCCCGCAGGGCGGGCGCCACCCTGATACCAAGGCCACTAGAAGGCGAGGACACCGGGACAGTTGGGATGGACGACCTCTGTCAACACGGATGTAGAAATCCTCGACCAGAGGCTGGCGAACCAAACTCAGCAGTCTGTGCAAAGGACTGTTTGCCGCCGCCACGTGGGACTGTCCTGGACAGCTGGGACGGCTCAACGGGGAAACAGCCGTCAGCGCGACAAACCAGGTTTGCCGGACGAAGGGGAAGCACACACCGCCCCTCTGCTGGTGCAGAACAGCCCCGACAAACGCAGCCTCTTTGCACAATGAAAACGCTCAGTAAACTACATTCAGGAAGAAACTTCCTCGCCTGGCTGGGTAGCTGAGCAGGTTTGAGCGTCACCCCCCTGCACAAGGTGGCCGGCTCGATCCCTGGTCGGGGGACCATGCAGGAACCAACCAACAAATGCACGAATAGGTGGGACAGCAAAGTGGTGTCTGTCTGTCTGTCTGTCTCCCTCTCCCCACTTCCTCTCTCTATCCCTAAAATCAATTCAGAGAAAGGAACTTCCTCAACATACCGATGACCAGACACCGGAGCCGACAGCTAGCACGGCACTGAAGGGGAAAGATCAGGGACAAGGCGGGGGTGCCCGCCCCCACCACTGGTATTCCTCACGGCACTGTTGATATAATTAAGCAATTAAACAGACATAAAAGATATCAAAATTGGAAAGGAAGAAGTAAAATTATCTTGGTTTGCGTACGTTTTCTTATATAAAAGGAACCCTAAAAGATCCACCAAAAACTGTTACAACGAATGAGCGAAGGTGCAAGATACGAAAACAACACACAAAAATCAGCTGATTTCTATACACGAACAGTGAGCAATTTGAAAGAAAATTATGAAAATAACTCATTTACATTGGCATCAAAAACAGTAAAACACTTAGGAATAAACTCGACCAAGGAGGTGGAAGGCACGCTGAACGCTGCAAAACGCACTGAAGGGAATGGAAGGCGCAGGAGGGTCGGGAGACACGGTGCTGCTGAGGCGGAAGGACCGCCCAGAGCGACCTGCAGGGTCAGTGCCGTGGGTCGGCGCCCTACCGAGTCTCTCCCAGACGCGGCAGTGTACCTCCTGAGATCCAGCTGGGTCTGGGGGCCCCTGCACGGCCCAGACGACCCTGAGGCAGAACGGAGCCGAGGACGCAGACCGCCTGGTTTGCAGACTCGCTGCAAAGCCGCACGACGAAGGTGCTGGGGAAGGTCAGACCTGCGGGCCCCGGAGTGGGACGGCGAGCGGAACAGACCTGGAGCACATCGATGACCACTCCTCGGGGACAGGGCTGGCCTTCCACTGGACACCCACATACGAAAGAAAATTGCCACTGCCTAACACCATACCTTCTACAAAAATAAGCCCCCAAACAGATCCTGGATTCAAACGTAAAACTACAAGCCTTTCAGAAAAAGCGTGGAAAACCGAGGCCGTAGGGTTAGGTGAAGAGGAAACACCGAAAGCACGATCCACACAAGAAAAAATAATAGATAAACTAGACTTCCTCGAAACTCCAGGGTTTGCCTGTGGAGCCTGGGTTACGAGGACGGAAGACAGCTGGGGACGGGCAGCGCCCTTCTGAGCACGCTCCCCGCAGAGGGCGGTGTCTGCCCTGAGTGACGGAGCCTGAAAACTCACCAGGACTCGGTGGGAACACAAGCACGGGTTCGAGCAGAAACTTCACCCAGGACTGCACGGTGGGCCACGTGCTCCTGCCGCCCCGTCAGCGCCACTGAGGTAAACTTGGTGACCACCCCAGAGGCTGGGAGGGGTGGAGAGATGACCACGCGCCAGGCAGCTGCTCCAGCCAGGAGTGGGCAGTGGGAATCTGCTCCCCACACCTCCACCCTCCTGGACGTCCACACGGGGAGCAGGGAAGCTGTGTGCATGCAAAACCCTTCACACGCATGCTCACAGAACTCTGTTCCGGAAAGCCCACACTGGAGACCACCCCACACCCTCCGGCAGGTGAGGGGTCGAGAACCACGTGAATCCCGACAGTGGCCTCTCCTCGCCGTGGAAGGGACACGCCGTTGCTCTGCGGCATCGGCTCCGAGAGAAGAAAGCCCATTTCAGGAGGCCCTGGGCTGCCGACGCCAGATTCTGGCACTGAGCGGGCGGAGAGCAGAGTCCTGGTCGCCAGGGCGCAGGTGCCGGGAGAGGCAGCCGGGAGAGGCAGCGGGCGTCCCCCACAGCATACGCGAACTACAGTAGTTGGGGGGGGGGGCCCTTGAGAGTCTGTGCATGTCAGCTCCACTAGTGGGAAAGGAAACCCTGAGACTCCGTTCATCCCAAGGCCTGGAGCGGGGAGGGGACGGGCCTGCGGTGCCCAGAGAAGCGCCCCATAAAACAACTCTGGGTAATTGCCTGAACGAATGCAGTCTAGAGCAAGATAAGGATTTGGGCTAACGGGCCCCCACCTGTACCTACGTCTGGGACCCGTCAGTTAGTATGTAACTTCCTCATCCCCATCCCGCCAACTACGTAAGTCCTCAGAACAAAGGACTCACTTGGCTCCTCTGCTATGGGGGGGCTCCTGGCCCCCCTGCTCTGGCCGCCCCGCCTTTGCTCTCCCACTAGAACTGAGCGCGAATGAGTTCCGCCTGTCAACAGGCTTGCTGCTCTGTGATCCTTCACTGGGTCGGCAAGAAGAACCGAGTGTCTGGGAGTTTCCCTGTAACGTGCAGACGCACGCACACGTGCACACACACGGGCGCGCTTCGAGCACATGTGCATGTATGTACACATGTGCACACGCGTGTGTGGGCACAGACGCATGAAAACCAGTGGCATCCGAGGAGCACACACAGAGCAGACAAGTGCCCGTGTCTTGGTCCCGCAGCTGCAGTCACGAAGCCGGGGGACGGCACGCGGCCTCTCTGCAGGTTCTGCAGCTCCCCGGCACCTACGTTATTTCCGAACGAAGCATCTTTAAAGAGGGAGGGGCCTGTCCAGAGCAGGATGTTTGTTCTAAAATAGAAAACAAGACTAAGGGCAAGCGACGCTCTCTGTGCTTTAAAATTTCACTTGGAGAATAACTTTTGAATATTGAATGTCTATAGCAGCGTCTTTTGATTTTACACATGGTTGTCATCTGGCACCTGTTCAGTGCTTTCTGGTATCAAGTGTCTGCCTCGGGTGGAGAGCACCATCTCAGGCACTGAACTGTTTCACAGCAGAGAACGTTCGTGCGTCCACTGCTGTGTCATTTTTTAAAGACGACCTCTGACACTTGGTGGGACCCGGTCACTGCGAACCAATTCACTGTCTCTCATGATGGTCGCTCTCAATTGTACAGAAACGTGTGGCCTGTTGACAATCGAATAAACTGGGTGCCTGGGGGAATTCCTACGGGTTCTCAGGGATTTGACTTTCTCGCTTCTGAACCCCAAAGTTTGATAGCTTTCAGGAATTTGGAAACACAACCCAAGCTTCCCGGGGGCAGGCAGGCAGCCCCCAGCACCCGGTCCGTGCAAGGCCCAGTGGGCAGCAGAGCTCCTGCGGCAGCGGCGGTGAGCTCAAGCGGCAGGAGGAGGGGTCGGGCCAGACCCTGGGCCTGGGGGGCGGGGCTCACCGATGGCGCTGAGGGCGTGCCGGAGCTCCAGGGCGAAGGCGGTGAGGGGCACGTCCTCGGACGCGGGCAGGATGGCCACCGTGGACAGGTTGCTGGCAGGGTTCCCGGAGTCCCACTTGCTGCCCACGGACTGCAGCCCGAACTGGTGACCTGGAAGCACAGGGTCGTGGGTCAGCGCGAGGGGTGGGGCACCCCTGTGACCAACCCTGGAGGTTCTAGATGTTTCCGGAGGACACCCTGGCACAGGGAGCCTGGGGTGGAGATGAGGGACGGGCGCCTCAGCCCCTCCCACCGACAGGCAGGCCTCACCCTCGGCGCTCGGCCCTCGGGAGGGGAACGGAGAACAGAAAACTCAAGGACACGGACGTCACGCAGAGGCAGCAAGGCCGGTCCTGTGAACCCACCCACCTGCCAGCGCTGGCTTCCATTCTAGAAACGATCAACAATGTGGCCCTCGGGCTAGTTGGGGGGCAGCGGACTCCAAGGGACAAGTTGGAGAGGCACAGCCCCCGGCCCTGAGACGCTACACCCACACCCATCAGCCTGCATGGGAGGGTCGTGGGCAGAAGTTTATTTCCAGCAACAAAGTCACTTCTTGGACGGCAGCATCTCCTGTCTTCATAGAGGGGTGTCTCACCCCTCCTACCAGCCACCTGCCCCACGGACCCTGGCCTCCTGCGGCCAGGCCACACTGAGGACTCTCTCCCAGGCTTCCTGACTGCTCATCCCCCAGCCCAGCTGTTCTGTTCCTGCACAGACCCCCTGACCCTGGAATGCACAGCCAGGCATGTGCATTGGACACACAGAAAGGCCCAGCTGCCCGAGGGTTTGTCCACTGTGGCTCTGCCATGCCCCACCGCCCTGGTGATGAGTGGTGGTCCCAACAGCGCAGAGTGGACCAGAGTGGGGATGCAGGATGGGGTGGGGGCCGTGCTGAGAGCTCATCGGAGGCCGGGGAAGAAAAGCGAGGCTGCACTCGGCAGCAGAGCGCCCCTCTCACTGGTTTTCCTGCACCCTCCTCGGGACGCCCTCCCTCCGTCTTTCCGGTGACCTCTGCTGCCACCGTCCTCCCCGGGAGGAAGCCGAAGTTGACCAGGAGCCCCACCGCACATGAGGCTCTGGTTCTGGCCCCGAGGCAGGATCACAGGGACGCAGCCCTCAGAAGGTCACCCAGAGCTGGGGCCCTTGGCTCTTGGGAGGGTCTGCTGATGCCGCAAAATCAGCAGTGACCCTGCCACTGCCGCTCCGGGCAGGTGGGGTTCTTCCCCCCCATCGGGTGCTGCCTCTAGGGCACTCAGCAGACCCCCTCAGCAGACCCCCACTCTCCAGCCCTGTGCTGGCAAGCAGAGGCAGCTCCCCCACTATGAGGGGGCGATCACAGAGCAGGGGCTGAGAAAGAAAGTCTCCGAAACCGAGTGTGAAGTTCCTGGCTTGCTCCCAAGGAGCCCATGCACCACAGGGCAGGGCCTGGGAGAGCGGCAGGGCCAGGACGCCAGCCAGCCAGCCGTCGCGCCGGTGCTGGGCTGCACACGGGCCGGGCCAGGATGCACAGGCCTTGCGAGTCAGCCCACACTCAAACCCAGTCTGGGAATGAGGCCAGGACGTGCCGGGGGCGTGTGGGCACACTGGCAGTCCGCCACAGCAGGCTCCGACACTCGAAATGCGGGCTGCACCCTCCAAGTGCCCGTGTGCCTGGAGCCAGGAGACCCTCAGACTGAGTGAGAACGGACACTGACAGGCATGAGTGACAGCACGTCACAGGGACTGCCCGTCACAAGAGAGCCGTGGTTGTAACCAGTAGAAACGGTGACCGTGTGCAGAAATGTAGTAACTGAGAAAACATTTTTAAACTCTCTGGACAGGCTGAAGAGCAGGAGCGAGACAAAGGAAGAGCCGAGAACCTCGGATCAGAAGAAACCCCTCGGCTGAGCACGGGGGGCGGGGCGGGGCGGGGACAGCAGACACTGGGGACGCAGCTTCTTCAGAGAGAAGGGAAGGGGCCGGGGGCAGCCTGGGACCCAGGGTGACGGAAGAGGGACTGGGAAGGCAGGTTTTGGACGCTTGTCCCAAGTGTCAGACACACCCGACAGCTCAGAGCAAAAGTCACGACACTGCGCAAGGGCTTCTCACTCCACGCACACAGAGGTGGTTTCTCAGCCACTGGGGGCAGAGTGCCGTGGCCGAACAGCGACAAGCGCCCACACTGCACGGATGTGAGGCGGTGCTGGCGGGAGAGGCAGCTGGGTCCCTGCAGAGAAGATGGGAGCCAGGAGGGGGCGCCGGGAGGAGGGGAGGACGGACCGCCCGACGCGGACAACGGCATCGGGCGTGAATGGGCTGAACACGAGGACACAGACTGTCAGAGGACGACGGGACACAGCCCGATTCCGTGCTCCCTGCGGGAAGCCTGCCTCCCACGCGGCTGCACCGCCGGGTAAGGGCAACACAAGGGGCTGCCGGTCGAGAGAGAGCGGCACAGGCGCACACAGCTCGCCTCCTCCCACATCAAAATCACAACTAAAACACAGAACCACCGTCACTCAGAACCGTCAGAAATGGAGTTGAATGGAAGTCTGACAACCACAGAATGAGAGCAACCACGTCCATCCAGACTGGGAGGAGGGGTGGCTGGTCCCACACCCACGTGTGGTGGATAAAAGTTCGGAAGGGGGACATCTCGGGAGTGAGGTTTCCCAGCCCCACACCAGACCCCCCAGCCCAGGGGTCCGGTGCCAGGAAGAGAAGTCCCCACGACTTCTGGCTGCAAAACCCAGCAGGGACTGAGTCAGTGGAAGAACCCTCTGGAGCCCCAAGCAGTTCCTCTTAAAAAGCCCACACACGACTCCCCTGCTCAGACCCCTGAGCTCCAGCACCGGGATGGCAGCTTTAAAGGTACCAGTGGCAGCGGGGAGAGACTGAGGCGTCTGGCACCGGGGCCAGCACAAACCATTGTCCCTTTACTGAGCCACTAAGCCAGCAAGCTGGTGCCACGTTTGAGACTCCAGCAACCTGGCTAACACTGACCGACCCACCTTGGAGATCCCCAGAGAGTCTGTCCCACCCAACTTAGAGCCCGCCCCCCAAGCTGCCTTTTCCTAATCCTCTCCATCAAGCACAGCCGGCCTCCCTGAGCCCCAGGCCCAGCATGGCAGCAGCCAGCCCAGATTCACAGTTTGGCTTCCCCGGGAACCTCCAAGCCCAGCACAAGGAGCAGCCACCTCAGAGTGCTCTGTGGCTCAGGCAGGGGGCCCCGGGCAGAACACAGGTGGGGGCTGATCTTAGCCTGTGTCACCCGGGAAACCCCAGGGCCAGCGCACCCACAGGACAGCTACAGACCATGTCAGAGCACCACCACCCTGCCCCTGCACAGCTGATCCTCCCCGGAGGGCAGAGGCTGGTGGTCAGTGGTCACAGCCAGTCCTTGTAGCTGACAGGCCAGGGAAAATCCCTCCCATTGACCTGCCAACAGCAACCGAGTCTCCACTACTGGAGGAGGGTGTACTCAGCCCACCCAAAGGGCACACCTGGAGTATTCAACTGGACGATAGGGGAGGCTGTGCCACTGGACCCTACAGGACACCTACTACATTGGGTCACGCTACCAAGACACGGAGTCAAAGCAGCTCTACCTAATACATAGAGACAAACACAGGGAGGCTGCCAAATTGAGGCCAGGAAATATGGCCCAGATGAAAAAGCAGATCAATCTCCAGAAAAAGAACTAAACAAAATTGAGATAAGCAACCTATCGGATGCAGAGTTCAACACACTGGTGGTCAGGATGCTCGAGGAACTCAGTGGGGACCTCAGCAGCATAGAGATGACCAGGTCAGAAATGACGGACACACTAACTGAAATAAAGAACAATTTACAGGGAAACATCAGTAGAGTGGATGAAGCCGAGAATCGAATCAATGATTTGGATCATAAGGAACAAAAAAACAACCCATCAGAACAATAAGAAGAGAAAAGAATCCAGAAAAATGAGGAGAGTGTCAGCAGCCTCTGGGACAACTTCAATCATTCCAACATCCGCCTCATAGGGGTGCCAGAAGGCGAAGACAAAGAGCAAGGAATTGGAAATCTATCGGAAAAAATAATGAAAGAAAACTTCTGTAATTTGGTGAAGGAAATAGACATGCAAGTCCAGGAAGCACAGAGAGTCCCAAACAAGATGGATGCAGAGGCCCCTCCAAGACACACCACAGTTAAAATGCCAAAAATTAAAGACAATGAGAGAATCTTAAAAGCAGTGACAGAAAAGAAGTTAGGTCCTGGAAGGCTGTCAAACGGTAGGGAGGTTGGAGTGATGGGGAAAAGGTGAGGGGATTAAGAAGTACAAATAGCCCTGGCTGGTGTGGCTCAAGGGTTTGAGCGCAGGCTTGCAAACCAAAGGGTTAGCGGCTCGATTCCCAGTCAGGGCACATGCCTGGGTTGCAGGCCAGGTCCCCAGTAGGGGGCGTGTGAGAGGCAACCACACACTGATGTTTCTTTCCCTCTCTTTGTCCCTCCCTTCCCCTTTCTCTAAAAATAAATAAGTAAAACCTTTAAAAAAAAAAAAAGAAGTACGAATAGGTAGCAGCCCTGCGGATGTCAAGTGCAGCACAGGAAATGGAGCAGCCAGAGAACTTTCACGTGTGACCCACAGACACAAGGGGGGTGGCCTGAGGGGGCGGGGCTGCTGGGTGGAGGGGGGCAAAGGGGGAAAAGTCAGGACAAGTGTAATTGCATAATTAATAAAACATAATTCAAGAGTAACATAAAATGAACCCCCGCCCCAGAAAAAAGTAAACTGAGGCAGACACGCCTGTCTGCCCGGGACCGCGACCTCACTGGGCACAGGGCCTCAGCCGGTGGGGCCCCCTGAGAGGAGCCCCCCAGTAAGGCCGGCTCCTGCCACCCCCTGTGCCACCCCCACAGCGTGTCTGCATGTCCGTCCCCTGTCCCCTGTCCCCTCCGAGGTCCGTGGTGGACAAGCTGGGACACAGGGCTGCCCTCCTGCAGCTCACGGGCCAGTGTGGGAGGGGCAGCACAGCTCCCAGGGGAGACATGCGGCGTCAAGCGGTTGACTGGCGGGGACCAGTGCTGCCGGGAAACACGAAGGTGACCAGGGAACCGAGGGGCTGGGAGCACGGGCCTGGGGGGAGGGGGATGCTGAGTTGGCAGCTGGGGCAGAGGGGGCAGCAGGCCGAAGCAGGGGTCCCGGCACAGCCCGGAGGCTGCAGTGGCGCCTCGGCCAGTGCACTCACCGGGCGCAGTCCCCTGCTGGAGGCCGCCCAGGATCTTCTCGCCCAGGAGATGGATCAGCCGAGTCACAACCTGGGGTGGAAACCACTCACTTTACCCCAGGAAGCCAAGGCCCCTGGGCCCACATTTTGAGAGCCACCATGGCTGCCAGTAGCTCCGGTCCGTGGGTGGGTGACAGACCTCACACAGGCCCACTCTGCCTGGACCGGGACCTGAGGCAGCCCTTTGTCTAGCGTCTCCCTGTCTTCATGCCCTGTCTGTTAGTCACCCAGGGGGACGGCTGCTCCTGGCAGGAGAGCCCTGCCCTGGGAGGGGCTGGGGCCTGCTGCCCGCACCGGCCAGAGCCTTTCTGACTGACCTTAACCTCCAGAACTTCGCTCTGGCTCATGTGTCTTAGTAGACTGAGCAGCAGCCTGCGACCTGGTTCAAGTCCCAGTCAGGTCACGTGCCTGGGTTGCAGGCCAGGTCCCCATTTGAGGGCATGTGAGAGGCAACCACACATTCATGTTACTTTCCCTCTCTTTCTCCCTCCCTTCCCCTCTAAAGATAAATAAATCTTTAAAAATAAAGAAGAACTCTGCGGTTTAACTGGGAGTCTATTGTTTCCATTTCTACTTGGTGGGAAGAACTGGGGCGCAGGTGACACACACAGGGCCCGTGGGCCGAACCCAGCCTCCACCTTGTTTTATCCGGCCCGGCGCCTGGTTTCCACCGGCGGCAGTGCCAAGCTCTTGCTTAACCGTTAAGGAGCAGTTCCATTTACACAGTCCTAACATTACATTCAGCCCTTTGGAGGCCACCGCGAGGCTGATGTGGCCCCCGGTGAAAATGAGTTGGACGCCCCTGGATAAGGAAATGCTGGGCTTCGCCCTGCGGATCTCAACGCCCACACCCCCACCAACTTCGCTCCGTGGTTCTCCAGCGAAGAAGAAGACACGCAGGTCATCTGCAGACACGGCTTCACCCCTCCTCCGAATGTGTGCCCGGGGCTCCGGGTTGCCAACGCTCTGCGTCCGCTGACGTTCTGGTCGGAACAGCCCTCAGACGTAAGCGGTTCCTTTCCCTCCTATTTCACTCAGCGCGTATATTACGCCGGATGTCGTCCGACGCCTCGATGCAGCCGCGTGCTCTTCGGACTTCCGCCACAGCTCGCCCTGTTTCGTGACCTCCCATCGTGGGACCAACGCTCCTGAACCAGGCGCGCCTTTCACGCCTGACTCGCCAAGCACGGCTTGCAGCTGTGGCTCTGACAGACCTGGTTCAAGCTTTGTCATTTTTATCGGGTTTCTGTGCTAAGCTCCGGTTTGCTTCACACAATGCACAGGTGGGTTTCCCACTCGTTCCAGAACAGAGACGTCTGCACGGAACCTGCAGGCCTCATGTGCTGATAGGCACGGCCAGGCCTCACGCCCCTTCTGCCAGCCCCCGAGAGGCAGGGACACCCAGGTCGGACCGCCCGCCACAGCAGCCGCCCGGGGGCAGGGCCGCCGCCCACGCTGCCCCCAGACGCCCGCCTCACACACCCCGACCCCACGGCTGCACGCAGGGGAGTCCGCACTGTGATCACGCCTGCCCGTGCCTGCAGCCAACTCCTCCCCGGTGACAACTGCAGTGTCGCCTGTGAGATGGCAGGTCTGGGCGCGGCCTCAGGACCACAGTGCCCAGCAGGCTTCACTCTGCATCACCCTCCCTCCCTCTGCCGTCAGCTGGGCCGCCCGTCCTGAGGCCCAGGCTCCCCTTCAGAACCGTGGAACCCGTCTGCTCCGGACTCTCTCCCCTGTGCCGCACTCTGGCCTTGGAACAGCCGCCCCCCTGCCCGGGCGTGGCGGCCTCCCAGCGCAGGCGCCCTGCTCCCCGAGGCAGCCCCACTCGGAGCCCTCACCTGTGGGTACCGGCGCTTGATGGACGTCAGGGCCCCGGCCGGCAGCGTGGCCAGCTCGGAGTCGCGCACAGCATGCACCGTGGTCGCCCTGGGCTGGTGGGTGAGCGTCTCCACCTGGGGGGTGACGTGACCACGCTGCATGCCCGCAGCCCCGTACCCCGAAGCAGAGGGTGGACCACAGGGCGGGGCTTCCAGCAACTGGGTGCGGGTGGGACTCCGGGGGCAGGGCCCCGCCCCCGCCGGCCTCGCTGGAGACCTTTGGCCCTTGGATCCCACCCACTGCAGCCGAGGCAAACCCGCACGCAACACGAAACGGAGAACCACAGGGCGGCCCATCACGCCATGCTGAGCACCCCCACTCCCCCACAGGGCAGGGCCCAGCTGGGCGGCCCCCCAGCCTACCACGCCAATGAGGTCTCCCCGGCCATACTCCCCGGCCAGGCGCTTTTTGAGGTCGTCCTGGCGGATCACCGAGCGCAGCCGGCCACTGAGGACGATGTACGTGCAGTCCGACTTGTCCCCCTGCCTGCAGGGACAGTGACGGAGAGTGGGCAGGGCGCCGGCCAGGGGCCCCAGGCCACACCACAAAGCCGAGAGAGGGATGCAGTCTTCTCAATGCCGCTGGGACGCTGCCTCCTGGGGCCCCTTTCGAGGAGGGTGTGGGTTGCCTATGTGTGTCCGGGTGTGTGCACGCGAGCCCAGGCAGTGTGTCATGGGGAGCCCGGCAGCTCTGCCCCACCGCACGCCCCGCACGGCCCCACGCCCACCTGTACACGGCGCGCCCGGCTTCCACCTCCATCCAGTCCAGGGCGAAGTCGATCTGCCGCACGAAGGACGACATGCGCTTCACGACCGTGTGCGCGACGGCCAGGACGACGTTCGGCTGCCTCCGCATGATCCTGCCAGACCAGCCCGGGTCACTCCAGCCGTGTCCTGCGGCCGACCCCCCACCCCGCCCCGTCCCTCCAGGTCACGGCACTTGAGAGTACGCAGCTCCCGCCACCCCCACTTGTCAAGCTGTGACGTCCACTGAGCAGGTGACATGGGTGGGCCAGGGGCCGCGACCCGGCAGGGAGCCCGGTCACCCCGCCGGCCCATCCGCCTCGTATGCCCTGAGCCCGCAAAGTCCCTGCCAGCTGTCACCCACCCCCAGGTGTCCTTGCCACAGGTGGCAGGGGGACAGGCAGCAAGAGGGCTGTCGGCAGAGACCTCGGGCCTGAAGCCCCAGGTGGGATGAGGACCCCTGGGAGGGAGGGGACGATGGTTGCTGGGCGGGAGCTGCCCGGGAGCTGCCCGGTCAGGGCCTCGGGCTGTGAGTGCACAGACACACTCGGGGACACGCAGGGATGGGGACACGCAGGGATGGGGCCACGGTCCCCCAGGCTGCTCCCGCACCTGGGCCTGGCAGGGCTGGTGGGGCTGACAGGGGGCCCGTCCAGCCCAGGAGACCGGCTGCCCCGAGAAGGCGCTGAGTGCGCCTCGGCTTCCAAGGCCGAGGGACATGGTGGCCACCCCACCCTCCCGCCAGGATGCCCATCTCCCGCCAGGACATGCGGGGCCGGGCGGGGCCCGTGAAACACCGCGTGGGCCCCACGCAGGCCGGCGGGACTCACTCGTAGAAGTGGGCCTTGGAGATGCACAGGAAGCTGCAGTCGCGGTTGGCCCTGATGGTGAAGATCAGCGGCTCGCCCGTGAGCACGGCCAGCTGGCCCACCAGCTCCCCGGGCCGTGTGACGAACAGGCAGCTGTCCTCCTCGCTGTCAACCTGGCGCTGGTACACGTGCAGCAGCCCCGAGACCACGAAGATGACGTTCACGTCCTGGCAGGGCGGGCCCGGGTCAGCTGCACCCCGTCCCCACCCCACCCCCGACCTGGCCCAAAGCTGCACAGGAGGTCGGGACGTGGCCTCTCTCCCTGCCCAGCTCCCCTGCCCTCTGCCCGCCTGGGCCGGGCCTGCCTCTGACATCGGCTGGCGGACCCCCACCCTGGGCTGCCTTGCACACATCACAGGCATTTTGGATCCAACGGTGGCAAATGTGCCTCTGAAACGGCTCCGGTGCTGACCCCACGCGTCTGCGTCCATCCTGTGGCCTCTTTCCAAACTCACGCCCCTCCCCCACCGGACAGCGGCTCTGCCGTCTGCACAGGAGGGGGCCAGGGTGGCAGGACCCCAAACGGGCTGCTCGGTACAGAGGCACGCCGCCCGGTGTGGGCTGGGGGGGGACAGGCCAGGGGCTTCCGACCGGGTGACCCAGAGGCTCCGGGTGGGGGAAGCCAGCCAGCCAGCGTCTGCTTCCTCGAGGGGAGGACAGAAACGCAGGGAAGAGAGGGACGGGGCGGGGACGGGGCCACTGATGCCCGTGGGCGTCTCAAGGAGAGTCCTCAGGAACCTGAAGCTGTCCCCAGGCCTCTGCTGCCTGCGTGGGGCTGTTCTCCATGTCCTGTGTCCCATTCAGGCCAGCTCACCCCCTGCCGACGCCTGAGTCCCCTGGGCCCCGATACCTCGTCTCAGAGGGTGCGCGGGACCCAGAATACCGGGCGCCTGTGAAGGCCCCTCACCTGGTCTCCCTGCCTGGACACCACCGTGCCCCCTGGGACCTGCAGAAACGCCACCCGGCCGTCTAACAGCGAAGGGTCCTGAAAGCAGAGAGGCAGAGTCAGCACAAGGGGCTCAGAGAGGCGGCCTGACCCCCAGAGGGGGCGGGGAGGACGCCGGGACACAGCCACCCTCCAACACTGGCCCCGAGGTGGCCGGGACAGAGATCCCAGTGCGGCCGTGTCCAGTGTCCGACATGACCTTGGTGCCCTGGAGGGACAGAGAGGACCCGGGTGAAAGGGGTCTCCTCTGGCATCTGAGACGGAGCTGATGGAGGTGCAAGGGCACCAGCTGGGACGCATGCCCCCCGCGCCCGGTGTCTAGGCAGCTGGGGGGCGGGCGGCGGGTGGTGGGCAGGGAGTGGGGGGGTGCAGCCCCGCACACACCAGTGTGGGGAACAGAGAGGACCCCCAGGGCTCAGCCGGGACACGCGTGGGGCGAAGCCCCTGCGAGCAGCTCGCGGAGGAGGCGGGCCCCGGCGGGACGCAAAGGCTTTGCACGTGGAGCCCTTGCAGGAGGCCAGCGCTCGGCCGGCCCCGTCTGGGGACGGGGGGGGGGGGAGCCAGGGCGGGCCGTGTCTGCGAGTTCGCGCCAACCGCCATCCAGCAGGGGCCTGGACAGACAGACGGAAGCAGCCCAGAGCTCCATGCCTTCGAGCAGGAGGAAACCGCACCCAGTCCGGGCGGAGCGGAACCACCCGTTCCGCACGGAGAGCAGGGGGCGTCCTCGGAGCAGCGCGGGGACCCCGTCACCATTCCTTTGTCCCCCAGCACCGGCCCAAAAGGAAACCCGGTCGGGACTCTGTGAGGGTCTCAGGTGCGGTGACAGAAGCACCAGAAGCCCCTTGGCCGGGCGGCTCCGTCCATCGGCTGGAGCACCGTCCCGAGCGCCAGAGGCTGCGGGTTGGACCCCAGACTGGGGCTCACACCGGAGGCAGCCATTGAAGTTTCTCCCTCCCTCTCTCTACATGAGTCAGGCGTGTCCTCAGGTGAGGACTTTTTTTGAAGCCCCTTTTCCTGAGCAAGAAGGAGGCTCCTGAGGGTGGAAGGGGCAGGGAGAAGCCCGTCCCCAACTCTGTGGGCCCAGTGGGTGGGGGTGCCGCGCTGTGAGTGGGGAAGGACCGCACCCACGACAGAGCAGAAATGTCACGACTGGGTCCTTGCTCCGGGTGCACTGCAGCCTCGCGGAGGAGAAGCCACAGAGACACTTCTGCGTGAGGTCACAGGGACGGTTTCCGAGGCAGGAGGAAGGGGGGGGTCAGCCTGGAGACACAGCCCAGGCTTGGACCGGGGGCAACGCCTCTGAGAGCCACGGGCCTGTCCACCTCAGCGCGGCCAGGGGCTGAGGACACCTACGTCCAGCTTCATCAGGGTCAGCAGGTCCTTCTTGGCGGCTCTGAAGATGGCATCTGTCTTTGAGCTCGCGACTGTCTCGTCTGGGCTGCCGTCCGAGTAGTGGAAGACGGCAGAGGGGGTCTCTGTGACGACCACGCTCTTCCTGGGCTTGAAGAGAGCACAGACGCACCATGGGAGGGGCCCCACGGGCGGGGCGGCCGCGCAGGGGTGCGTGGAGGGCGTGACCCACCTTACTGGCCGCAGTGTTCCCGGGGCGCTCCTCTGCGTGCAGGGGAGCCCGGGCACAGTCATAAGCCATCCGTGGGTCTGGGGTGGCACCTGCGGACAGAGGAGGGCCTCAGGACATGTGCTGGCGGGAGGGCTGGCCGGGCACCCCAACACTGGCGGGCCCACCCGCAGGTGAGACTCGGTCTGAGAGTGAGGCCACTGTGCCGTTGTGCCTCTTAAACGTGCTCACACCAGCACCAGCCACTCTCGCCCGGACACCACTGACTCGGCGCTGGACGGTCTGCCTCCCGGCCCCCAGGCCTGAGCAGGCTGTGGCTCCCAGGATATACCCAGGGGTCAGGCTGGTCCTAACCCTTCAGCAGTCGGAAATGCGGTGAGCTCCCCACACCTCGGAGTGCAGTCGGGCCTGACAGGAAGGAGGGTGCCCCCAAGCAGAGTGGGAGGGGTGAGGAGGGGCAGGTGCTGCTCACCTCGGAAGGTGGGGACACGCTCCCCCGGGGGTGGAGCGACCAGTGGCACCGTGGCGGCGGGTCCCAGAGCCCAGGCCCACCCCAGCCACGGCCACGCCTGCTGCCCTCACAGAAACCAGCTCACAGGCGCAGAAGCTGCGCTGGGGACACAGAAACGGCACAGGGTGGGCGCACGTCGGAGGAAGTGGACAGGACTGCGAGGGGCGGGTGGCCGGGCCCGCTGTGCTCCGACCGGGTCTGCACCGCCTCGCACCCGCCTTGAGAATGGAGCCTGCGCTCAGACGGACAGTTACCAGGAGCCACTCGACGGGTTCCCACAAGCCTCTCGAAGGCTGCATTTCCCAGGGAATCAGTCTGCCCAGCCCGTCTTATTTGAATAAGATTCGAAACATTCTGGATAACAGAGCAGTTAGTAACTTCTCTCCTCCATCCCGACACACTGTGGATTTGTAGTACCGGTTACAATGTGGCTACAGGTTAACATGGATTGTAGTTTGTTGTCATGTTGTTCATCAGCAGTAGGGTTAACAAACCAAGGTATTAGGACACCGAGGTGTAGTTTAAAAGTAAAAATGAAACCCGACTGCGCTCCCTGGGTAAACACACGCCTGTGCCAAAGGCCCTCCGTCCGGTCTCGCACCTGCCGCCCGCTAGGAGCTGCGGGACGGTGGGGTCCGAGTGGGGAGGGGACGCTGCCCCTCCCATGTACTGAAGAGTTCACACTCGAGTTCGCCATGCCTGGAGCACTACTATGTTCAATTATGTCAGTTAAGCTTCTTTCATTTGAAAAAACTTACTGAATGCATTTTTTTAATATGGCCAGTCCACCGGATACCCACGTGGACCCCAATTCACCTCACATAAGAGACCCAATCCGGAGGGGCAACCGTGCAAAACAGAACATTGAATCTTGCCGACAGTTTCCTGCACAAAATGCATAGACCATGAAAGAAAATACTTGACAAGCTGGACTCTTAAACTTAAGAACCTCTTCATCAAGAGTGGAAAGTGAGTGAAGACACCTCACGCAAACCCGTGAGTCCACCTGGGCACAGAGGGCAGGAGGGGTCACGTGACTCAGGGAGCCGGGCAGGGTGGCACCGAGGCCAGGCCTCACGCAGAGCACGGGCGGCCCAAACAGAGACGACAGAAGGCCAGGAGGGCCGGGCGGGGGGCCCTCCCGACGCCGGGTGGCCTGTGAGGCAGGGCCACGGCCCATGAGCTGCGCTGGCCCCCGAGTGGACTGAGAACTGAACTGCTCAGATCTACCTGTGAACAGGCTGTGTGGCTGCGGTTGTGTGGACGGTGCCAAGAGCAGTCAGACAGCCTCATGAGGCTGGTGGAGAACCGTGGGCACGGTCTCTCCATCTAAACACACGTGCAGCCCTGGCTGGTGTGGCTCAGTGGACAGGGGTCGCCGGTTCGATGCCCAGTCAGGGCACACAGCTGGGTTGCAGGCCAGGTCCCCCAGCAGGGGCCGTGTGAGAGGCAACCACACATGGATGTTTCTCTGTCTGTCTCCCTCCCTTCCTCTCTGTCTAAGAGTAAAATAAATAAAATCTTTTTTAAAAATCTCAGGAGTAAACAGGCGTGCACTCCATGGTGGCGGTTTCCGTGGGAACGTGTACCCAGCTTCAGCAGAAGTGTGTCCACACCTGACTCACCGCAGTCAGGGCAGCGCATGTGCCACCGACCTGCGTGGACATCACAGACCTGGGCCCAGGCCGCCGTCCGAGTGGGGGGCGGGGGGCACGGCCTGACGGCTCTGCTGCCAGGCCGCAGGGGTGAGTGGGGGGGCTCCCGGGCGGCTGGCTTCTCAGCCGGGCGCTGGCCGCACAGTGCGCACACCCCGTGGGCAGGCGGAGCCACCGCGCGTGGCTCGGAAAACGAAAGGCAACCCAGTGTTGCTGAAGAAAGAGGCAAACGTTCCAGGAAGAAACAGGTCCGGCAGGCAAACCCGGAGACGGGAACCACGTGGTGGGTGCCAGGGCGGGGGTGGCGATGCTTGCGGGGACAGGGTGGCTTTGCCGGGTGACGGGAATGTTCTGGAACCAGACCGTGGTGACGGGCAGAGACCAGACTAAAACCCCTGGACGGGGCCCTCAAAGGGGCGAACTTCACGGCACACGGGGCACACCATGTGGACTCGTGGACTGGGCCCCACAGGCGGCACCAAACGGGCAGGAGGCCGGTCAGACGTTCCTTGGAGGGTGTGGGCAGCTCCTCACCGGGACACCGTACGCAGGAACGAGGGACCCCAACATCACAGGAGAGCACATTTCTGACCCGGGAGTAAGGAGGAGAAAGACCCCAAACTCCGTCTCCAGGGTGCGGCTGGAGCCCAGTAAGGGAGCGTCGCGGGCCCACAGCTTGTGGACGGCAGACAAAGCACACAGGCCGCCCGGGAGGCAGCACGGGGCCCCGAGCTGGAGAAGGGGCCGCAGCGCTCGCAAGCCAGCGGACGTCACCGCCATGGAAGGAGCGAGCCAGACCAAAGGCCGAGGCAACCTCTGTGACCGAGAGCCACCCAGAAAGCCAGGAGCCAGCAGGTGGCAGGCAGAAGCAGTGACTCCTGGGGATGCTCCAGACACAGTGATGGCCAAGCAGCCTGGGACTCCGGTGTCCCCTAGGAGGACGCGTGTTCTCGTGGGGCAGGCACAGCCCAGCCCGGGGAGGGAGGACGGCGCTGGGGGGCCTGCAGGGCCCATGGGTGCAGCACTGCAACACACGGACACCAGGACACCAACGCAGGGGGCGTGGCGAGACGGGGGCGTGGCTAAACAGGGGGGCGTGGCGAGGCCCCCCCACTGTCTTCCACAGAGCCAGCGCTCCGGGCAGGGTCCCCAGGTTGAGGCCTCCCCCACCAGCGGGCACCCAGGGCAGGCAGAGCCGCCCTTTACCTGGTGGAGCCACAGGGGCCTGGTCGCCGGCCTGGGCCTTGCCGAGCTCGTCTGAGATCTCGTGGACGGACGGCAGCGGGACGGAGTGGCTCCTCTTCAGCAGCGGCCCGGAGGCGGCTGCCCGGCTGCCCCCACGGTCTGCTGGGGCGGGGCACGGGTGTGAGGCCAGGCCGCTGTCCCCATGACAGCCCACACCGCCCACCTCAGGGCCCGGGGGCCACCTCTGCACACCGGGCCAGGGGGCTGACAAGCAGGGACAGCCTCAGACGCAGGCCCTGCTCTGCCCTGTCCCCGGGGTCTTCCTGGGCTGCCCAGCCCCTCACTGCCGGCCGAGCACCTTGAAGGTCACTTCCCTGGGTGAGCCTGGCCATCAGCACCCCAGCGGCCCTCCCGGCAAGAGGATGCGCACCACGTCCCCTGGAGCGACTCCTGGCCAGGGAGCCTCAGTGGCCAGTTTCTTGCCCCAAGTCCAGGCCCTGCTGGCAGTCCCAGAGCAGTGTGGCTGGCGCACAAAGCTCAGAACCTGTTCCCTGAAAACCTTCTACCTGGGGCTGAGTCCCTCCGCAGAGACAGGCAGACAGCAGGTGACCAGAGGGCCAGCAGATGGGTGGGGCCTTGACTCAGGTGAAGGAAGGTCCCAGGGACAGGTACCTGGGTCACCGGGCTCCTCCGGGCCGCAGCTCGCCTGCCTCTTGGTCTTGCCCGCAGCCACGCTGGCCACAGACACGAGGGGGATGGCCTGGCTCTCCTGGGATGGGGGACAGGAGAGAATGGAGGTGCCGCCCGGGACGCCCGGCACTTTCAGAGCGAGCGGGGGACCCTGGAGGCAGCCACGCCTCAGGGACGGGGGCCAGGGTCGGCTGGGAGAGCCGCCATGTGAAGCCGGGCTGGCCTGTTTGAGGCGACAAAGACCCAGCGAGTTTAAATAATGCTCAGAATTCTCAGAAACTGTAACCGTCTTCATCAAGACGAGAAGTCGTGTAGAAAGCAAGAGAGCTTGCCCTCAGAGAACAGCAACGGGAGATTGGAAGCCCGGGGCAGCGCCAGCTCCGGGGCTCCAGGAGCGAACACATGTACGGCACTTGGGGGCCGCGGGCATGTGGCCTGACCGGGTCCCTCACCAGCACCGGCTCCTGGGACCAGGCGCTCTCTGGGCCACGAGGACACAGCAGGTCACAACCGTCCCACTTGCTTCTCCCAAGGACTCAGGGGGTGGCAGTGAGCTTCTCCGCTGTCACAGCCACCTGCCGGCCTTGGCAGAAAGGACAGTCAAGGGGCCCCAGGGACAAGAAGGGCAGCCTCTGGTGGGCTGTCACTCGGCTCGCACCAGAGGATCAGAGGGGCTGGTCCAGACCAAACCTGGGACCCTGCGGCATAGGAGCCACGGCCCCGTCACGCCGCTGGCAGCCGGGCAGCTGGTGTCCTGGAGGCAGAAGGAACCCCACCACCCAGCCCGAGATGGCCAGCTCTGAGTGCAAGGGCCCCAGCTCTCTCTCGGGGAAGAGAGTCCCCAGGGCCCGCCGTCACCCCCGTCGGCGGCACGCACCGGGTTGAAGAGCTCCGCGGTCAGGCCCAGGTAGCTGTGCAGAGCCAGGAAGGTGACCCTCTGCAGCCGCACCATGATGACCTGTGGGCGGCAGGGCGGGCAGGGTGGGCCGGGCCGGGAGCCCCCCGGGGCCGCCCCTCCCCGCCCAGGCCCGGCCAGCACCACGGTCGCCTAGGGGGTCAGCATCAGGGGCAAGAGCTCTCTGCATTATTTCTGTAAGCTTTCTGTAAATCTAAACGTACTTCAAACAAGAACTTTAAAACTGGAAAAGCTCTGCGGGTGGGGGCAGACGGGAAGGCCTGAGCATTAGCGTGGGTCGTGGACGACGCTAAGGTTTTCCACAGCGCCGCTCGGCGCTGCCGACTCGCACGGGGACGCCGTGACAGCGGGGCAGTGGCCCCAGGAGCACCCACCTGCACCACCCTGACCAGGGTTTCGGGGTACTTCTCAAACACTCCTTGGAAAGCCACCGCCGGAAGCCTGAGGATGGTGGATGGGGCGGCGGCACGGGCAGACACGGTCTTGTAGGGTGCGGTGTGGCCCTGCGGTGACAGGCATGGCGTGAGCCCCCCCCCCCCCCCCCGCTGACCCGGCGGCTCCCCCGCTCCCCACCCCGCAGTGGCTTGGGGCCTGTGACTCCAGCCAGCACAAGGCTCCCGCAAGGCCCCCTGGGCAGGGGCCTGGTGAGCAGGGAGGAGGAGGCTGGGGGGGGCCAGGCCCATGCTCCAGGCGCCCTGCGCCCCCGGTGCCCCACCCGGCCCCACCACCACGCTCGTCTCCCACACTGGGTCCCGGCAACCACCCAGCTCTCTCCTGCCCCGATGGCGCTGCCTGTGTCGAACTGCCACACAAGGGGAATCACTCGGGGTCTGGCTCCTGTCACTGCGGTGGTGCACCCGCGACACGTCACGCTGGGCCTGGACGGCCCCCAGGCCAGCTGCTCACACCAGGCAGTGGACTCACGGACACCCCAGCGTCCTCGCCCGTGGGGGACGGAGGACGCTTGTCCCCAGTTTGCGACAAGCACATGTGAGGCTGCTGTGCACAGTGACAAGCGGGTGCCACGTGACAGTCCCTGTTTCTCCTGCGGGGCACGGAGAAGCAGGACGTGTGGTCACTTCTGAGGCAGCACCAGCTGCCTCTCAGAGGCGGCACCACGTGGCAGTGAGCGAGCGTCCCGGGGTCCCCCACGCCCCGCACCTGCACAGCCACCTCCCAGCCGGGAAGTGCCCGAGTGTCAGCCGCAGCTCGGTGCCAGGCCAGGAAGGAAGACCCGCGGGGGCAGAGGGCGGGGGTTGGTCCTGGGCAGACGCCCCGTCCCCTCCGGTGCCCTCCGCAGGCCAGGCTTCCACTGCGGTGAAGCCTAAGTGACCGCTGTTTGCCTTTCGAGGTCCTGGCTTTTTTGTCGTATCTGGGAAGTCTGGGCACAGCAGGAGATGACAGGTGCTCTCCGGCACGTCCACCCCGGAGGACCAGCTCGGCCCGCCCGCGAGCCCGTGCCTGGGCCCTCTGCTGGCCGCCGACCTGTGTGACCGCCGAGCTGCCCCGGTCGCGCCCCGTGCTGTGACGGGAACAAGGGAGTGAGACCCCTGGGCCGTCGCTCTTTCTTTCAAATGGGCTTCCCCACTCTAGCTCCGCTGTTCTAGCTCCTCTGCCTTCCGTGACATCTCACGGTGGGTGTGACCTCCCAGGACAAGACGCCGCTGTGGCCCCGCGGTGGCGCTGACCGACGGGCGGATGTGCCTTCTCACTGACGCTGAGTCCCTGGCCCGACCCCTGGCATCGGTGATGGGCCCTTCAGCATGTGGATCGGTCACAGCGCTGTCACGCCGGGCGCTGTTCTCAACGCCGCTGGCTTTTAAATTTCCCGTTTCCAGTGGCTCACTGCCAACACTCAGAAATGCCCCAAGGTTGGGACACGGACCTTGGCCTCCCTCCTCTCGAGCTCTGGCACTTCCTGCAGATTCCGCAGGACCTTGTCACGAGCCCAACACGCAGGCCTCACATGCTGTCCCCACCCTGACTCCCCAGTGGGGCCTCCAGGGGGCCTGAGTTGGGTGCTGAGCTCGAACCCTGGGTGTGACCCAGCCTGCGGGGAAACAGCCATCGCTCCATGTCGAGAACAACGTCAGCTGTGCGGGTGGCAGGTGGCCTCATGGGATTAGGGAGGGCTCCTCGGAGCTTTGAGTTTCCTCGTGGACGGACCTGAGTTCTGTCTGGCACTTTCCTGCCTGTGTGGGGTGATCGCACGGTGTCCCTTCTGTTTGCGGGATCTGGTCAAGGTCACCAACTGGTTTTGTTTTTCGTTTTCTACTAAGTGTATTGAGGTGACACTGGTTAGTAAAATCGTGTAGGTTCCGGGTGTAAATTCCTGACCCCCCCATTCCTGGAGCAGCCCCCCAGACCCACTGGCCCGCCCTCTCTGATACACTGTGGGACTCTCATCTCCAACATGGCCCACGGAGGGTTTTCGTGGGTTTGTTCGTGAGACACTGGCTGGCGATTTTCTTTTCCTGTGACGTGTCTAGTTTGGCATCCGACTCACACCGGCTCTGAACTGGGTCAGGAGGTGCCCCTGCTCCGCACTTCCCACAGGTCCGTGTGAACCGGCGTCCCTCCCGCAAACAGGCAGCAGGGACCTGAGCGCGGCCACCGGCCTGAGTCTTCCCCGTGGGAAGGACTTGAGGTGCGACTCTGATTTTCTGGAACAGGCACAGGACGACCTGATGACCTGCACCCCACCCAGGGAGCTGGGTGCTTGGTCTCCATCAAGGCCTGCATTGCTCTCGCCCGAGGTGCTGACCAGCAGGGACAGAGCGGGTCCTGACACTCGTCCCTTGGTGGCTGCAGAGCCTGCAGCACAGTCCCCGCCAGCACTGCAGACTCTGGCAGCCGTCTCCCTGCTCCTCACTGGTCTGGCCGGCAGCTGCCACGCTGATGCATTCACTCCTGGAGCTGGTGGCTGGCTCTGTGGGTTTTCTCTGTCACTCTCCTGCTGCCAGTCTCATGGGATCCTGCCTTCACCCCTGTGACCCCGGCTCTGCTGGCATTTCCATCCGCTCACCCTGGTTTCCTGGGGCAAAAGCTTGGGTTGCTGATTCAGACCTTTCTCCTCTCGGAACTCGAGCATCACTGGTTCTGGTTTCCCCGGACGCGCTGCTCTAGCTGCACTGCGCAGATCTCAGCACTTTCAGTTCTGAGTTTCTGCCCTACTCCCAAAATCGCGTAGTTGGAAACCCGGTCGCTAGGCGAGTGCGCACTTGGGACTGTTGTGCCTCTTTGACCCCGTGCAGGAAGTTGACAGGAATCTAAGACAGAAGGTTCTGGAACACAAGAGGAGCCTAGAGGAGCTGTTCCGCAGGGGCGGCAGGACAGACGAGAGAGGCTCACAAAACATCACATATGCGCTTAGAATTTCCCACATGGCTTCACTAACTAAGACTTACGTTTTTAAAAAACAACAAACCCAAATGTCTGCTCGGGCAGGAGTGAGGTCCTTCGGGATGATGAACTGATCCTACAGAGTTACGTCCCCTGAAGCGTCGGCCCCGCTTTCTTCCCCCACCTCACGTGAGGAAGGTGGACGCCGCCGTGGGCTGGGGGCGCCGCTCTGAGCGCTGTGAGCAATGGCGTTCAAGCCCAAGTCCCGGAGGTCGCTGTCAGCCCCAACCGCTCAGAAGAGGGAAAGGCCCCCGTTGCTGGACCGAAGCTATTTTTCGCTTCAAGCCGGTGGCAGAAGTGGAGAAGGCTGCATCGCTCCCAGTTCACCTGCACGAGTGGGTGCCCCCCCAGGCCCACGGGGCCTGGCGCACACACCGAAGCAGGCCAGCCGGAGTCCGATCCACCGCACCTGCCCTCCAGCGGCTCCAGGGGGGGTTGCCCTGCTCTGAGGAACGGGTGTCTCCCTCGGTCTGGCCAAGTGCCATGCTAGGGGCCACGCATTACGCTCTGTCATTTCCACGCCTCCACCCCTGGCCCCAAAGTGGCTCAGACACGCCTGTGCTAGTCTGGCAGGGCAGGGTGAGCACGCGGGACGCCCCACGTCTCTGCCCACAGCTCGTCATCCATCCTGCGCGAGAACTTCGGGTCCATCCGCCCTGAGACTGAGGGGCAGCTGCCTCCACGTGGGGAACGAGAGCAATTCGCCGCGTCGAGGAGGCGGCGAGGGTCCGCACCCTCCGAGCTGCACGGGTGTGTGCAGGGCCAGCGAGGCCCTTGGTGCAGAGGGGACCTGACTCAGGAGGAGGCCCCTGGGGGTGGGGGGCGCGCGGGCGCTGAGCTGACGGCAGCCAGGGGCGCAAAGGGGCTCCTCTGCCCTCCGGACGTGACACGTCCCACAGGGAGAAACTGCAGCGCAAGACGCTGTGTCGGGACCGACGGGAGGAGCAGGGACCGAGCCTCAGGGGCTCGCTGGCTGGAGGGCGAGGGGCGGCCGGGGTTTAGCCCCGGCAGGCGCTGTGTGCCCTGGGGCCCCGCAAGCCCCTGCTAAGGACTTGGCTGCAGACTGGACCCCAAACATGCGGAGCGACGTCCAGACGGGGCCAGTCACGCGGCAGAGAATGCGGGCTGGGAACGACAGCGGTGCCGTCAGCGCAGAAGACCCTGAGCGGGTCCCTGCGGGGAAGGGAGGACGCGTCCCCCACGACGCTCGGCGCCTTGGGAACCCTGCAGCAGGCGTGTGTGAGGCCCGGCCCCAAACCCGTCCTCGCGGAGACAGCAAAACCCGAGGGCCAGTGCTGGGCCCTGCGTGTGCGTGGAGCTGCTCCCGTGACACCCCGACCTCCCGGGTCCCCCGCCCTCCTGGGCCAGCCCCGCACCGTGGACCCCCGGCCTTGGTGTGCAGGGACCTGCTGCCGGGAGGGTGTGAGCAGAGCGGCAGAGGGCACTCACGGTGATGACGTCCAGGATGCTGAGCAGGCTGTGGACGCTGTCCCCAGCGACGACCTCTTTCACCACCACCTCCGTGCCGTCCTGCGTGCGGGGAGCAGAGCACAGTGGGCCCCTGGTGGAGGGCCTGGGCTGGCCCAGCCAGCTGCTGTCTGGAATGGCCGAGGCCGTGCCCAGGCTGATGGGCAGGGGTCACAGGTGACGAGCTCAAACACAGAGAAGGAAAAGCACGAGAACTAACAGGAGGGGGCGCCGAGAGACCCCGCTGGCCTGCACGATGTCCAGGCCCTGGGCCTGGCCGCCCCAGGAGGCCTGAGTCTGCACTTCGCAAACTTGCAGTGAGGTGGCCCCGCTGGGAGGCTGTGGGCCCCGTGTCCGTGCTGCTGGCACGCAGCCGTCACGGGGCAGGCGCCCGCCCCCGGTAACGGAGCAGCTGCACACCCAGGCCACACAGGGAGCCAAGGCCCCAGGCACCAGCCTGGACAGAGTGCTGCCTGTGCTGAGCCTTGTGGACACTGTGAGGCGAGCTCAGCACTGCCCCCCAGCACAGAGCAGGCGTGGTGACAGCAGGGAGGGCGGGCGGCCTGCCCAGGGCCTGCGGGCTGCTGAGTGTGCCCTCCTCCGTGAAGAACTAGAATGTGAGATTCTGCACCAACTTTTCAACGGAAACGAATAAAAACGTTAACGGGGCAGACCTGGTGAGAACATGCAGTCCCGCACCCTGCACCTGGCTCCGAGCCCCTGGCCCCACCCTGAGCCCAGCGGGTGCTCACCGCGTCCTGGACGCAGACCTCCAGCCGCCCCTCCTGCACCACGTAAATGCTGGTGTCCGGCTCGCCCGGCCGGAAGACATGCGCCCCTTCGGGCAGCTGCACGAAGACCATATGCTTACAGAGTTCCAGGAACAGCGGCTTCTCGAAGTGGCCTAGGACCCTGCAAGAACCAGAGCACGCGTGGATGCCTCCAGGGAGGAGGGCGGCAGGGCAGCCTTTGGAAGCAGCCTGACAGGGATCCAGGCCGGTGCCACCCCAGCCAGGCCCACAGAGCCGGCTCCTGCAGCCTGTGGTCACCGTCGGGACAGACGCGCAGGCCCCAGAAAGCCCCATTAGCTAGTCTCAGCTCAAAAGCACTCGGGGGCTGTAACTCTGAGCTTGAACCAGATGCACAACCGAGGCCGGGTTGAGAAGTGCCCCCGCGGGACAGTGAAATGGGCTAGAAAGAGGAAAGGCAGGGTTCTGGGGAGAGGCGGAGGGGACCCGACCCGCGCCTTTCGGTCCAGCGCACAGTGCCCACACTCCGAGCTCCCTGCTGGAGGGGAGAAGGCTGACAAGCAGGCAGACACAACAGCAAAGAACTGGAGAGGAGGCTCTGCCAGCCGCTGGGCAGAGGCCGCAGCAGAGAAGCCCCGTCCACTGTCGGCGGCCACGGGGAACACCGGTCCCCAGCCAGCGTGGCCACCTGCACCCAGCTCCTCTTACCGAACGTTTTTCAGCATGTACAAAACTTCCGACGGCAGATGAGAATTCTTCACGTCAAACTCCGTGAGGTCGGCCTCCAGCAGGGAGGGGGGCGGTTCCTTTGGCTGCAGGGTTGGGTATTCCTTCTTGAAACGCAGGATTCTGCAAAGCAGAGACCCCCACCCTGGAGCAGAGCCCGCGGGGCGAGCGCGGCCGTGCCCCCGCGGGGGGGGGGGGCAGCCCCACTCACTACCTTTTGGCCAAAGACAGCACCTTGGTCCTCTTCCTCACCCGCTGCCGGGGGGCGGCCGTGCTCCCCACAAGTGTGTTGGGGAGTGTGCTCACCTGCAGAGAGGCCGAGTCACAACCCTGAGGCTAGATCCAGCCCTCAGCCTGCCCAGGATGTGGGGAATGAGCCTTCGTGCTGTGGACAATGACCACCACACGTCACATCCCCACAGTCAGCCCAGGACCCACCCCTGAGCTCCCGTGACCCGCCCAGGATGCTTCTCCACCTTCCGCTGTGCCTCACAGCCCCCGTGTCCCACCCCCCATCAGGCGCAGCGTGGGGGCACAGCGTGGGGCACAGAGGGGGCCCCTCAGGCAGCCACTGCCCCTGCTACCCTCAGGCCCCTGAGGAGTGCGGCCCCGGGGTGTGGGCTGCACTGCGGGTGTGTGGTCACCAAGACTCCCACGCCAAGGCCTGCCGGGGTGGCTGCGTGTGGGCCTGCACCGTGAGGCCGCCCCGCGCGCCAGGCCGGCCCTGCCACACAGCTGGCAGGGCAGCATCCCAGCACCGAGCCGCCACCAAAGCCCATCCCCAGCTCGTGACGCTGGTCAGAGCAGAAAATCCCGTCAGAACGCCCACACGTTCTCCCGTCTGACACTGCAAGCTTCCCACAGAGAACGTGGGGTGACCGTGTAACTGGACAGCGGAGCCATCACACGGAGCCCTCGGGGGAGGAGCAGGCCGGGGTCGCCAGGGAAGCTAGGCCAGGTGCTTGTCCCCTGAGGGGGGCTTCTGAACCCTGGCAGGAGGCCTGGTCTCAGCCCGGAGCCAGGACCCTCAGTGTGCACTGGCCCCAGGGAGGGTCCAGGAAGGGGCCTTCCGACCTCTTCTCCAGGGCCTCTGTCACCGCGCACTTGCCCAAGCAACTGCAGGTGCTTCCGCCCGGCCGAGCCCCCCCAGGTTTCCCCAGCCCCACAGCCGTGCGGCACCAGGCACACAGAGCTGTCTCCAGCCACCGGAGCTGGGGGGGCAGAGGCCATACCACACAGGAGCCCGCAGCCAGGTCACCTTCCGCATGATCTTCCGGCCGTAGAACATCACTTTATCTCTCTTCCGGAACCTGTACTGGGGGGTGGGCTGCACTTGTCCTGCGAGGGAGCAGACGGGCCGCTGTCACTCAGCAGGGGGGAGGAAGGGCAGCATCCCTTTCGGGGCTGTCAGAGCCACCAAGGGGATGCAGGAAGGGCAGCCTGAATGAGAGTCAAGGATGCCGGACACTCAGCCACCATGGGTCCAACATGCTCAGCCCTGGCCTGGATGGACAGCCGTTTCCAACAACAGCTGCCAGGCCCAGACTTCCTGTCCCACCAGAGCTCCAGCCCTGCCCCTAGAGCTGGAGTCAGACGCAAAACACTCACGGAGTCTGTTCACCCTCCTGTACACAAAAAAGACGGTGATGCCAACGAGGGTCAGGGCCAGGAGGGCTCCAATCGCCATCCCTGCAAGCTGGGAGGGGAGGCAGATGGAGCACCTGTCAGCTGGGCTGCAAGGAACCTGCCCCACCCAAACATAGGCTGAGCTCCAGGGGCCCAGGGACCGAGGCTTGGGGTGCCCGGAGTGCGGCAGTTACCATGGGGGACTGCGTGTGCTGTTCCGTCACCTGCAGCCACCAGGAGTGCAGGGTAGGGCCCAGACAGACGCCAGCCTGGAGGAGAGCATGGCGGTCAGGAGGGCAGTGAGAGTGGAGCTTCAGGTCAGGGAGGGGCCTCAGCAAAGAAGCCGCCTTCCAGGAACCAAGGGCCTGAGCCCACAGCCCAGGAGCACGGCGAGAAGCCTGGGTCCGGGGCTACACAGAGGACTGCTGGATGGGGCCGGTGGCCTGGCTATGTTCACAGCAAACGCTCCTCGAGTCATTGACACATCCAAACCCGAAGTACCCAGGACGCCAGCCCAGAGGAAAAGGCCTGCCTGGCCGCAGTGAGGGCAAAGGCCACTCCCAGTGCCCTCTGGTCACCAGTAGGACGACAGCGGCAGCCCCAGGACACACGGAAGCCCAAGCACTGGCGGTGCTGAGAGACCCCGAAGAGCCATCTGCGTTTTGAGAACATTAAATTGCAGCTCACAGCAGAGAAGGGCTGCGAGCCTGCTCCCCCACCCCCACCTGCCACACCACCTCACCCCAGGGGAAGAGCTACCCTGCCTTTAAAAGTCCAGAAGAGGAGGTGAAGAGACCTCTGGGGGTGAGTGGGCAGAGGCTGCACCACCCTCATGGAGGGTGCTGGCCAGTTCCCAGAGGAGATGAAGAGGGAAACAAGGGCAGCAAACAAGCTACACTGATCCCCCTCCAGGATGGGGCAGGCACCTGCTGGTCCTTCCAGGTTCTGCGCAAACCCAGGGACACAGGCAGAGTGCCTGACCCTCCAGAAAGCCGGATCGGAGGCAGCGCCGGTGCCCACGGACTGGGAAGGGTGCTCTGAACAGCGTCTCATGAGCAGAGTGTGGCCTTTGGACACTAAGTGTCCAGAGCACTCAATCTCTGCACTTGGTGCAGGAGGCAAATGGGAGCAGTGGGGGCTCTCTGCTCCCCAGCTGAGATCCCTGGCCCCCGCAGCCCACAGAGTGCCCAGACCCTTGAGCGCACCCTTCACCCCCAGCACAGCAGGGCTGCCGAGGACCGAGCACAAGGTGCCCACAGCCTCTGTACACGGCGCCACGGCCGGCATCTCACATGTTCCTCCCCCGCAAACTGCAGCTCAGAGGCATCAACCCGGCCTCGGGGGAGGGAGACGCAGGGCTTTTCTGCACTCAGCTCCGAGGACCTGACCAGGTGCTGCACGGACCCTTCTCCTGGTCCGGAAACACCTGACTGGGCACACCAGGGCTCGGATGCAGCCGGAACCCTCCAGCTCCATACCTCTGGGCCGGCGTCCTCCTCCTGTTCCATGGCTAAGAGGGAAGCAAACAGTCCAGGTGAAAAGAAGAAAGACTGGTTCCAACGAAGGCAGGTGTCCCTCCAGCTCAGTCACATGGGAGAGCGACGTGTCCCGCCTTCCCCAGGTTCCTGAGGTACGTTCTCACTGACGGCCAAAAACACAAAAACCTTCCCCGTGAAGAGGAGCTGCCTTTTCAGAGGCATCAGAGCCACTGCCTTTCCGTAAACAGCCCTCACGTGGCCACCCAGGCACCTAGGACTGCAGCCAAGCCCTGGCCAGCCAAGGGCAGTGAGCAGCCGGGCCAAGGCCTGGTGCCCCTGGCAGCTCGCAGCTGGGCAGAGGCCAGCGTGGGGCGTGGCTGCTGAGACCGGCCCTCCCTAGTGGCCCGTGCCTGGGGACCCCCCCCATCCAGGGTGGCTGAGCCCTCAAGTGGGTGTGCTTGGGTCCAGGGACGACAAACTTGGGGACCAGCCTGCACACCAGGCCTCTGTCTGGTGGGAAAAAGCCAGGTGTGGGCCTTCACCCTGCAGCTCCCTTAGGAAACTGGCAGCAAAAGAGCCTTTGTCGCTTCCAAAATCCCACCCCAAGAAGTTGAGAAAGCAGGTGTGGAGCCAGGCGCGTGGGCGTCACACGTCCTCGTCTCCTGGGGGAAACCCTTCTCAGCTAGTCCTGGCCAGGGCCAGCAGGCCTGGACCCGGCTCTGTGGCCTGCCACTGCCCTGACTACTTGCCCATCTCCCAGCGTCCCCAGGCTGGTGGAGGGGCCCAGTACACCATCTCCAGCACCTGGGCCAGCCCAGGGCCAGTGGGAAGGTGACCCAGCGCAGAACTGAGGGCACTGGCAGCAGGGTTGCCCAGGTAGGGTGAAGGGGATATCAGGGTTAGGGGGAGGGCCGGTGAGTGGTGTTTAGGGAGGCCACGAGGGTTAGGGGACAGGGATATGACAGGGGTCAGATTTAGGGTGCCATCAGGGTTGTGAGGGCTCCAGGGTTTGGGAAGCATCTTGGGGGCCAGGGGGTTACAGAGGCGCAGGTTAGGGGACTGGAGTTACAGGTGCGTCTGTGTCACTGGGACTTCGAGTTGGAGGGCTTCATGGTTACAGAGGCACTGGGGTTACAGGGGCATTGGCATTCCAGCGGCATCATGTTTAGCGGTGTCAGGTTCAGGGGACATCGAGTTTGGGGGCGCTAGTGTTACCAGGGGCGTTGGCGTTACAGAAGCATCGTGTTTAAGGGGTGTAGGGGTTATGGAGAGGGGTTGGTGTTACAGGAACGTCGGGGTGCGGAGGCCTGAGAGGAGCGGGCTGCGGCTGCCCGAAGCGGGCGTGTGCGTCCGGCGCCGGCCGGGAGAGCTGCGGGTTACCCCACCCCACCTGGCTAGACTGGGACCGCCAGCTCCCGACGCCTGGAGACGACTCACCGAGCCGAAGCTCCCCGCGCCTGCAGCGCACCGGATCTCGCTGCGCATTGGCCGGCCCCTCTGGTCCCGCCCCCGGCACGGTGGCACAACCAATCGGAGAGGCTCTTGCTGCCGCGAGGGGCGGGCGCCGGAAGTCGCTGGGTGCCGGAAGCCGCTGGGCGCCGGAAGCGGGGCTTCAGGGCCAGTGGAGCAGGCGACCCGCTGCGCACTGAACTCACAAGGCCTGGGCGACGGCGGCATGGGGTTGCTGAGCGCGGCGGCGCGTTGCGTGGTGCGCGGCGCCGACCGGATGAGCCAGTGGACCAGCAAGCGCGGCCCGCGCACCTTTTACAAGAGCCGCGGCGCAAAGGGCACCGGCGTCCGCACCCACAAGGGCAAGTTCGTGCTGGTCAAGGAGATGGTGCCCGAGCTGGTGGTGCCCGACCTGGCCGGCTTCAAGCTCAAGCCCTACGTGAGTTACCGCGCTCCTGCGGGCGACGACACGCCGCTGACGGCCGCGCGGCTCTTCCAGGAGGTGGTGGCGCCCGCCGTGGAGAGGGACTTCCGGGCCGGCACTTTCGACCCCGAACGACTGGACAAGTACGGCTTCGAGCCCACGCAGGAGGGCAAGCTCTTCCAGCTGTACCCCAAGAACTTCCCGCGCTAGCAGCGCGCGGGAGGGACCAAAAAGCCCCCCCTGGGCCCTCTTCACCGGCGCTGGCTCGCTCTCCCATTGAGTCTACCGGGCACAGCAACGGCTGTTTCTCTGAGGCTCTGCTCCGGACTGGAAGCATCCCCTGCGCAGCTGCCTTAAAACTAGACAGGACGTGTCAGACCGGAGCCCCGGGACCCTGAACCCAAAGATAACAGCGGATGAACTGAAGCGGTACAGTCCGCCTGAGATCCGATGACCTGACTGACAGTTACTTGCCAGGATTACTGGCCACAAACCCCTCCCCGTTTTGATTCCTTAAAAATTCAGAGCCCCGACCCCTCTGGGTTGGTGCGTCCCTCCGTGCCCAGCCCTTTCCCTCTCTTGGGAAAATAGAAATAAAACTTTGTTGCCTGCATTTTCTTTTGTGAATTCTTTCACAGCCCACACCCTGGCCACCCTAACACTCGGGACCCCCGTGCCCGGTTTCTAGTAAAGGTCCTGGCTCTGCAGAGTGAGGTTTTGGCATGTGGTCTTCGTGAGGTGGAGTGTTTGGCCTGGCCTGGCAGGGTGCACAGACCAGGCCCTTCTCCAGGTATTACTGATGGGCGTGTTCCACGGGGTTGGGTGGGCGAGGTCAGGTGGAAGGAACCGCTGCTCTTGGGGCAAACAAGTCGGCCGAGGCTGCATCACAGGATGAGCCCCAAGTAGGGCTTCTCAATAGGGTCTCCCCAGTGTCCGCCTGTCTCAGTGACAGCTGCCCCATCTCCTGTGCTCTATTTCATAACAACTCAAAAGAAGGGTGGGGGGGGTGTCACTGTTTATGGAAGTAAATGGGCCCTCAGCTGGGAGGGCCCATGCAGCACAGAGTAACCCCTCACTGCACACGGGACCCACAGGTGCTGCCCACCTGCGTCAGGGTGCCCATTTCCCACGCAGCGGTGATCAACGTCAGAAATTCACCAGCAGCGACACCGGGGCTCTGACAGCTTCCAGTGGCCTGTGATAGGCGGCCACAGGCTGGGCGAGAGTCGGGGTCACGAGCCCAGCCCTGTGTCCAGGTTCTCGTGTGCAGTGTCTGGAAGCCACCACAAGCAGGTGTGATTCGCCCGCCACCCCGGGGACACCTCACGTGCAGGGCACAGGACCTGGCCTCCTGCTCCCCGCAGAGCAGGCTGGTAGACGTGCTCGGGTGCCTTGGTGGGCAGTTCATGTGACACTGCTCTGGTGATGTCATAGCTTTAAAAACAACCGCACTTAGCCCTGGCTGGTGCGCCTCCCAGGGCTGGGCCCCATCCACAAAGCGCAAGGTCACTGTTCGACTGGGGTTCAGTCCCAATCGGGGGCATGTGACAGGCAACCAAAGAATTTCCCTCCCTCTTTCTCCCTCCCTTTCCCCTAAGAATAAAAAAACAAACTTTTAAAAAAAAAGGCTACAAAACTTCATTTAATATAAACATTGCTTAAAGAAGTGAAAGTCCAAACCATGTAAAACTGACAAGTTTGGGAACAGGAAAGCCCCTGCCAGGGTCCCCACTTTGCAGGGCCCAGTAAGTAAGGGTCACTTCAGGGACACTGACGGCTTTCTTCCCTGTGGACACTGGGTCCCCAGAAACACAAGCCCCGCACTGAGCTGTGGCCTGCAGCACACATCTCTGAGGGGGTGTCAGGGCAGTTCACGCACAGACACGCTCTTCACAGCTTTAGACCAGGTCCCCCCACCAACCGCACAGCTCCCGGCTCCACCGTTGGCTCCCACTGCCAGAGGTGAAGGGTGTGGTCGTAAAAGGAGCAAGTGGCAAAGAGGCTGTTGTCAAAGTCCGCTGCTTCCAAACACTGGTCAGAGTCACAGAGCCCGGTCCCTGGGGTGAGTGGCTGACCCTCGGTGGGTGGCTGGAGGGAAGTCCTTCCCTTACTTCCACTCTGGAGCGTGGGGCCACCCCCTCCGTCATCCACTGCTAAACAACCGAGAGCCGGAGGTCCTGGTGACTGACCTGCAACCTTGTCTTCTGCTGGCTGCTGGGCGTGTGGCAGACGGCAGGGGGTGAGCCAGGACCAGTCGGCTCCGTACACCAGGGAGCTGGGCAGCGTGTGGGACAGAGGCACTGTGCACACGTCCTGCTTCTCCTCTGGGCAGGACAGAACACAGGAAATGCTACGTTACTCAAAGCTGGCTCGTCACTGCCAACCCACGGCCTGGCCCACCCGCAAAGAGAGACTCTGCCAGGAGCAGCCACTGCCACGCAGGAGTGGCCAATACACGGGCAGGGAGCAGAGGAAAAAGCCACAGCTGTCAGGATGCGCCGCGCCACTGAGTGCGCTCAGCCTGGCCGCAGGCCACACGGCTACGCTGCCTTTCCCAGCGGGAGGGTCCCGTGGAGACCGAGGAGCAGGGGACAAAGGGGATGCCCAGGTGGGGAGAAAGGCTCATGTGAAGCACGAGGGCCCGACCCGTCCAAAGAACCACAAGCCGGGAGCCTGACGGAAGTGCCCTCAGCCTGTCTGGAAGCTCAAAGTCCCACCAGTGCAGCTCCCTGGGCCACAGGGTTGGCCTTCCACTTGGAGAGGAGTTGGGAGGACACGCAGGGGTTTTCTGGCAGTGAGTTGCCACAGCAACTTTGAGGCTAGAGGGCGAGACTAAAAGAGCTCCAGGGGGCGCGGTGGCAGACCCCTGAAAGTCACCATACAGAAAAAGAAAGGATGAGGTGTCTCCAGACCGGAGGGGCCTTGGGTCCAGGGCGGGGCTGAGGCTGCCCAGAGAACTGGGTGCAGGCTTAGAGCACTGTCCCCAGCGGGAAGCCTGGAGCCTGCACACCTCACGCTCGGGAAGGGCGGCCACCCCGGCCTCCCAGTGCTGGGCCCGCATCCCAGGCACCTGGGTCACCGTCCATCCCAGGCACCTGGGTCACCGTCCGACCCAGCCAGGGCGAAGAGTGCCGCTGGAGGACCGGGTGGACGCTGGAGGGAGGAAGCAGGGACCCCGAAGACACACCTTCACGCAGCAGAACGCGTGTGGAGCATCACCTGGACCTGCAAAGAGCCGGGGAGAACCCAGACCCTCACAGACAAAACCGTGGCGGCACCACCGCTAAACAGAGGGCTGTGCAAACCCATGCGACCCCTACTGTGTTTTGAAATGAACTACATGACGCACCGGGGGTGTAAGGAGTGCGTTTTGTGCAGGACAAAAGACGTGTGAATACACATACAGACACATACTTATTTTTGCACCACCACAGCCAAAACCCAGTGAAATGCATCCTCTGTAGGAGGTGAGTGGGGCCCGGCCAGTGCAGCTCAGTTGGCGTCCCGCGAACCGCAAGGTCGCCGGTTCTGTTCGCATTGGGGGCACGTGCCCGGGTTGCAGGCCGGTCTCCAGTCAGGGCCTGAGCTAAGGCAGCTGATCGATGTTTCTCCCTCTCCCTCCTCCTCCCTTCCTTCCCTTCTCTAAAACTGGGTCTGAGGAGGAGCACAGTTTGACCCACAGCAACTGGGTTACCAGGGAAACAGCATCTCTCCAGTGGAAGGGCCAGGGCTGCCCCCCGACCCCACTGACCCATTGAACATGGGCAGTGAAGGGCCGGAGCAGCGGCGCCAGGTGGCTCCCAGCAGGACTCATGGAGGCGGGCAGCACACCACCCTCCACAGAAGACTCAGTGCAGACTCAGGTCGAAGACAAGCCGGAAGGAAGAGGTGGAAGAGGACGCCCCGAGTGGCCCCAACACCAGGGGACAGAACAGCCTCTCGCACGAGCCCAGTGCGTCACTGGTCGCAGGCAATGTGGGGGCGGACGTGGGTAGAGTGAGGGGACCGGGAACGGGGAACCCCTCCCTGCTGCTGCCACGGCCCCACTCACCGATGGCCTTCCTGCAGTCCAGGATCCTGAAGCCACCGTGCATGCAGGCCGCCAGCAGCAGGTGGCCGTGCCGAGGGTGCCACTTGAGCCTCCACACGCCTCCCTGCACCGGCACGTCGGCGAAGGGCCGCCCCATGCTCCGCGTGTCCCACAGCAGGACACGCTCATCGTAGCTGAGACCGGCAACCCCAGGAAGTGGGTGGGAGAGCCCCTCGGTGGGGGAGGGGACCCGCCCCACTCACTGCCCCAGGGCCAAGTCCCCACCCCCACCTCCACCCAGATCAGGAGCTACCCACCCGACATCGCCACGGCCGACCTGAGAAAGGACCCAGGGAGCTGGCAAAGGGCCTCACCTGCCTGTGGCCAGGACACTGTCCCAGTGGGGGCTGCTCTGCATGCTGCACACGCCCATTGAGTGTCTGTGAGCGGAAGGGCAACACCTTAGCCGACCAGGGCAGGGCTGCCATCACCAGTGTCCACGGTTGTGGGACAGCGCCGCCCCCATGAGCTCGGTGCCAGCCTGAGGGTTTACCTCTTGCTGGTGAACACAGGTGTGCTGGGTGTCCTGGTGTCCCAGCCTTTCAGAAGGCCATCGTCCCCACCTGTGTGGAAACAAACACCCACTGGCCGTGGCAACGCTGGGGGAGGGGCTCGGGCAGCAGAGCCCCGGGCACAGCCCTGTGCCAGAGCCTCATCTGTGGGCCTGAAGAGGGCGCTCTGGGGGGAGGGCAGAGAAGCCCCTCCCTGTGAGGACGCCCCAAGCAATGCTTCACGCTCAGCCAGAGTCCAGGTCCCTCCGCTGGCCTCTGATGTCACCTTCTCCCACTTGAGTCCCTTCAGTCATTCTGGCCACAGTGGCTCCTCCCTATTGTCCTGCTGCCGCAGGCTCTGCTGCTCTGGGCGCCACCTGACCTTTCTTCCCAAAGCACCCACCACCTGGACCCACTGGACAGCTCCTGCCCCGGCCGCAGCCCTCCTCTCCCTCAGCGAGAGCTCCGTGGGAGCAAGGACCTGGTCCCTTTTTCACTGCTGTGCTCCATCCACCGCCGGGAGCCAGGCCTGGCGCAGGGGCGGGGTGCTCACTGATGTCTGCTGAGCGGACGAAGCGGTCCTGAATCACTCACTCCCCGCCCCACCACACCCTTGCTCTGAGTTAGCTGGTCCCCAGGGTGGAACTCGGAACCAGAGACTGCAGATGTGAAGCAAGTCTTCACCCTTCTCGCCGAGCCTGCGCTGGGCTGCAATTCGAAGAGGGCAGGAGGGACGCTGCCCTCAGAAGGGTGAGCGTGAGACGCAAGGAGGCGCGGAGGCAGGCGAGGGTGGCCCCAGGGAGGGGTGAGGGGACAGAGGTGCCTGGTTTGAGCCAGGAGAGGAGCGGGTGTGGGGGCAGCGCCCGGGGCACCCACACAGGAGTGTCGTCAGGAGCTCAGGAGAAAAGGTGAATGCCCAGCGTGGCTGTCCCCAGAAGAGACAGTGACCAAGCCCAGGAGAGCGACACTGCAGAGCAAAGACAGAGGTGGAGGGTGGCAGGTGCCCCGGGTGGGGGAGTAGCGTGGAGCAGGATGGAGCATCGTGGAGCATGGCCGGGGGAGCCTCTGGGCGCCGACCAGTGCCCCCTGTGCTGGCCCCCCAGCAAGTCCTCAGGGCGGGAGACTGATGAGGCCGGGCGACCAAGGCTGGCAGAGGAGCACCCACCTGAGTACACGATTTCCGTCTGCCAATAATTGAAAGCCGCAACCCAGGCCTCGAAGCTGTGGGCCTGCCACGTGGCTACAGCCTGTGGTCCTGGCCCCGCCTCGTCCACCTTCAGGAGGTGCAGCTGTCCCTTGGAGTCGCTGCTAATGATTTTCAAGGGCTGGCCACCGGCTCTAGACACAAGACCAATGGAGAAACCCAGATGAGCATTACTCAGAGACCCAAACTCACCACCCCTTCTGGTTCCCAAGCACTGACACTCTGTGCCCTCAAGACAGGTCCTGGGAGAGACTCAGCTTCCTAAGAGGCTGGCTGCGGGGCCTGGCAGAGGCCAGAGCTACCACTGGGCCTGCCACAGCAAAGCCAGTGCCCCTGTCCTGATGGAAACCCCACCCCTCGTCCCTGAGGGGCTGCAGCGTCTGTTCTTCGGGCTGGGGCTGGCCCAACCTTCCCAAGCCCGTGAGCAGTTGAGGCTCCTACAGGGGCCCGAATCCTCTCCTGCAAGTACATGGGAACAAGTCCTCAGAGCACAGGTGGGGACCCTCACCTTCCAGTTTTCCCAGTGGACCAATCCAGCGACAAGGCCAGACACTGCTCGTCCAGGGCGAAGCTGGCCGCCAGCTGCAGGGCTTGCGCGCCGCCCTGGAGAGAGGGGGCACTGTCAGGGGGGCCGTCCAAGGCCCCAGGAAGACCACTCCTCCAGCTCCAGCCGCCGGCATTCCCTCACCCGCTGCCAGGTGGGCCACGGGCCACCACCGACTGAGAGAACGTGCTGATACAGCAGAACCGGGCTCTGCCCTCCGCACAGCTGCAGGACCTCCCGCCCCCGGGACCCAGGGAAGCAGGCACCGCTCCTCCTCAGACCCCACGCCACCCGCACCCACTCGGCTCTCCCACACACCCTCCCACTCCCCAGGACCCCAGGAAGGCTGGCACATCGTGCGTGTCTCCAGGACACAGGCAGTGGACCCTTTCCTTGGATTTCCCTTTCAGAAGTCATGACCAGCCACTAAAGTGCTGTTCACGTCTTCCAAAACCTACATTAGTCTTATCGCCCGAGCAGCCCTGCACGTGCCCTCCTGCACCCGCAGGCTCCTGGCTGGCGGCTCCACTGGGGCACTCTCGGGCTGACTGTTCCGGGGTGCCCCCTGCCTGCTCCCCCGGCTGGTCTGCCCCGAACGTCCTCCCTTGCTCCCAGGACAGGGCTGCTGCTGCCAGTCAGCCTGGAGCGAGGTCCTTTCCACACACGCTCATCGGCCACAGAGCCAGTGCCTCAGGCTGCTCACAGCAGGTCGTGTGTCCCAGGGGCAGGTGTGGTCCAGCAGGCTGTCCACCTCCCTGCATGGCAGGACCCCCAACGGTCAGGGCTGTCCCTGTAGACAGCCGGCACATGTCTGAGAAGTTCACGAGCTGACCCCGTGCTCTGCTAACTGTCACTGGGAAGGACCCTTCCCTCGGGGACAGGCCACTGCTGTTCTCAGCTCTGGCAGTGCCCACCCAAGAACGCTGGGCAAGGGTCTCCTTAGGGGAGAACTTCCAGATCCGTCGACAGGTAAACCAACAGCCTGTTGTCACTCCTGCTGGTGACATGTAAGTGCCCTCCTCTCGGTGTCAGATGCAGACCCTAGCGATTTAAAATACACTGCTCGCTGCCTTAGAGCGTTTGGTGATCAAGTTCACCGCTGCACAGGAAATGTCCTGGAAAAGCAGCGTTGCTGTCAGTCTTCTTCCCAAACCTGCTCCGTTCCGGTTTCCTTCCACCTCCTACAAAGCCCATCCCCAGTCACTGACCTCAGATCCCACCAGTTGGAACAGCTCTATGTACCCACCAGCGTCCACCACACCCAGGAAGGCCTGGCCAGCCACCGGAACGTGGCACCTGAGGGGAGAATCCACAGACCAGTCAGAACAGGGGGCGTGCCCAGGGCACAGGAACTCATCACTTCAGCTTCAGCCCCTACACTGTTTTGGAGCCCACAGTTCTGTCCCAGCAAGATCCCCCAGCTTACGAATCAAAACACTGCATTACTTCTCAGAATATTAGCTCTGAAGCTTGGGAACTGACAAAGGAAATGAATCCCAAATCTGCTTCATCCTGCAGCCACCCACGGGGCCGGACGGAGAAGGAATGAACCCACAGCTCAGACGTGGCCCCGTCTTGTTGGATGCGGCCAGACATCAGGCTCCCTGACCAAGAGACAAACTCCAGACAGGCCAGGTGGTTACCAAGTTCGTACCATTTCATGTCCAGGATGGCAGCAGTGTCTCTCCTCTGGACCTCAGCCAGGGAGTACGCAGAGAGGTTTTCATTGCAACTGTACAGGTACAGACGGCCGAAACGGGTCTGTGGCCCAGTGGCCTCCAGCTCGCCCTACAAAAGATGCAGCCACGTCCCAATCACCCTATGAGACACTGCCGCTGGGACAGGAAGCCGGGGAAGGAGGTCTTTGGAGACTACGTCCTGCCTGGGATTTTCCGAGCTGGACAAAAGTCTCCTCTCCTGCAAGGGATCGGTGGGTGTGGATATTCGGGCCCAGGACATCCTTCTAAACCGGTGCACTGGCCAGCTGTGCTCAGGGTCCCACAGGGACAGTCCTGGCTGCGCCCTGGGCTGCAGGGCCCATTCTCACTGTCGAGGGTCCTGGTTTGGACCCCTCTTTAGTTGAGATTTCACAAGTAAGCTGGAGCCACAGTGCATACATCCAACCTATCCTGGCCACAAGGCCAAGGCTGCATCTCCACCCCGTGACTCCCTCTAGACTCCCCTTCCAGCTCCCCGGCCAGAAAGGTCTCCACGTCGAAACAGCTCTGCCTGCCTGGGCTGTAATCTGCCCCTCCCGGAGTTTTCTGGGCCTCGGCCCCTCCCCAGGGGGACGCCACCGGGCACCCGCGCGCGGACACGCACGGCCAGACTGCCGGGCCAGCGCGCACCTCGCCCTCCGACGCCCGCAGCTGGTAGGTGCCGCAGGCCAGCACGCGCCGGGAGCCCTCCAGGGGGCACCATTCCACTGAGTCTGCGGTGTACTCCGTGTCCACTGCCTGCAGCAGCTGCGGGTGACGGCCAGTCTCGCAGCAGCCGGAGGACGCCGGGCTGCTGGAGGCTGAGCTGAGGGGAACGCGGGACGAAGCCAGGATGCAAGCCAAGGCAGGGCGAGAGCCGGCTCGGAGTCAGAGCCGGGCACCAGAACGCTGCGAGCACACCAGACCTGCAGCAGGTTTTTGGGTCCTTCCGCGGTCCCTCCCCACTACTTTCCTCGGATCTAGGGGCGGGACTTCCGGCCGCCGTGGCCACCACGCGAAAGGCCGGGCTCCTGCGCCCCCTCCCGGCCGGAAGACCTCGGCGGGCCACCACGTGCCAGCAGGACGCGTCCCCTTGACCTGCCGTGAGACGGTGGAGTGGACAGGACCGCTGTGTACCGCACGTACTGGCAGGACAGCTGGGCCCAGAAAGGGGAAAGGCGCAGACATGGAACTGATGGCGTGCTCAGGGCCTGGACACCAGGGAGCAGAGTCCGAGGTCAAAGGGGCTGGTACTCGACTGCTTTTCCTTCCCTGTTGTTCCCCCGCCTCGCCCCCCCCCCCCGCCCCCACAGCCCTGCCTGCCAGCACAGCAGAGTGCGTGCAGGACGCCCAGCTGGAGGTCCCCACGTGAGTGGCGGGGCCCTGGGCAGGCGATGCAGGGGCGCAGGGGGAAAAGCCAGCATTCTTAAAGGGCAGGGGTCCCTTGGCCAGTTAGGTTTAGGCCACAGGTGGCAAACACAAGGCCCGTGCGTCGAATCTGGGCGGCACCTTGTTTCTACCTGGTGGCAGGGCCGAGCTCTCACCAGTTAAGGAGTATTTACATTTGTAGAGTCCTAAAATTACATTTGGCCCTTTGAAGGCAACTGTGAGGTTGATGTCAGTGAAAATGAATTTGACACCCCTGGTAGGCCGTAGGGGCCATCCCGGCACAGCCGTGATCTGATGTGGAAGACTGAAAAGGCACTGGTACCATTCAAGAAAATTCGTGTTATACCCAGCAGGCTTAGGGGACGCAAGTTTGGGCAGCGGTGGACTGTACTGTGCCCAAAACGATGTTGCAGTTGGACAGCACCACAGGACGTGACCTTTAGAGGCAGGGTCTTCGCAGAAACGATGCAGTGAAAATGGCGACTAGGGTGGGCCCTAATCCAGAGACTGCTGTGTTGGTGACGGGGAGCTCCGTCTGTCAGGGGCGCCACCCACCCAGGGAAGAAAGACAGCATGAAGACCCAGGCTATGGATCCACATGCCCCTGCCAGAGGCTGGAGAGACCTGGACACGCCTCTCCTTAGGGCCGCTAGAGGGAGCACCGCGCTGCCCCAGGCTTGGGTCTGAGTCCTCGCCTGCAGGAGACAATGTATTGTTTTAATCCACCCTTCTGAGGATACTAGTTATAGCAGCTAAACCTTACGCACCTGGAAGACTGAACCCCACATGGAGTCCTGGATCCAGCAGGCAGCTCAAAGGCAAGGCCACGGCTACAAATGCAGGCATGAGTTAGCAGCTACAGTGGGAGCTGAAGCAGAAAGGGCAGATCATTCTGAAACAGCTGAACACATCTCTACGCGGTACAAGAGGGTCAAGTCAGCAACCACACATGCTGTGCTCTAACCCGTTAGAAACAAGCCAAACTCGACAATGCTCTCAGGTGTGTGGATACAAAGGACAAGAAGTTGGAACCATCAGAAGAGAACCAGGTGCCGGGTACCAGCCGTCTGTAGGGAAGACCCTCTCTAGGGACCACGCACATCCCCCCCACCCCCACTAGCTCTGCATCCATTGCTGCTCAGTGTAGGGGCTGGAGGGACTTGGAACAAAACCCCCAACCCCTCCCCCACTATCCCCCACTCCACGCAGCACTTGTCTCTGACCTAGAAAATGCACTGCACCTAGGAAGGAAACAAACCCACCTGCACCTTCATGACAGCATCTGCCCTGGGGGCCGTGGTGTTGACTGAGTACAGGGAAGGAACCGCCACTGGGGCCCACTCTAACCCGGGGCTCTGCCCCCAGCTCCAGCCCAGGGCCCTTTGCCAGCAGACTGGGTATGTGGGCACCTACTGTGGCTTCAGCTCCCAGTGGCCACAGTAGACAGTGATCCCCAGGTCAAGGCTATGCCGTAAGAGCCACAAACCACCACAGAAAGCAACCGTGTGTCAGGACCCAGCATGGTGCTCTGTGCTGAGCCGAAACCCTGGGCACTCCCCTTCCCACGTGACTTCTTGGCGAGGAGCTGACTGCTTAACCTGTGCTGCTCAAGGGGTGTACACAGGCTGGAGCACCAACCTGGCCACTCCCCAAATGGCAGACAAAACCCACAGCCTGCAGTCCAATGCCTCCTTGTCCCAGGAGCCTTTGAAAACAGGTTGAGCACCTGGGACCCAGGCATGGAAAAGCCACCCAACCCCAACATGCCCACCTGCACAGGCCCTTCCCCGCTGTCCTGGTCAGAGCCAGCCGTCTGGAGGGAAGACTTCTCAGGGTCACACACACCGCCCACCCCAACCTGCTCTGCACCCATGCTGCTCAGTGCAGGGTCCAGAGCGACTTGAGTGACCCCCCTGTAGGCAACGCATGTCTCTGGCCTAGAAAACCCACACCTGGCCTGCAGTGGCGGAGGGGCCTTCTCAGTCAAGACCAGTGTGTGGAGCACATGAGGCCCTCGCCCCTTCAGAAAGACCCCCCTCCTCTGGGGTCAGGACTGAGCCCTCTGCCCCCTGCATGTTGCCAGCACCCACTCCCACTCTCCAGGACACCAGGGATGCAGAAGCAGCCACCGGAAACCCGGCTCCCAGACCAAAGGCTGCCCCAGGGCTGCCCAGTAGGAAGGCAGTGAACTCGCCTGGGCATCTGGAGGGGGCAGGGGAGCTGCAGCAGGGGAAGGGCAGGAGCACCTACAGGGCCAGGGGCAGCCAGGCCCGTTGGAGCTGAGATGGCTAAGAAGCAAGGCCCCCAGGGAGCTGGCTGGACCTGGGGACTGGCCAGATGCCAGCCGCACAGCCCAGCTCACTGCCCCACGGCGGCTGTGCAAGGTGTCCTGCGGGGCCAGAGGCTGCCCAGCACTTGGCCGTCTGGCTCCAGGAGGGGAAAGGGCAGTCCAGGCCCATAAGGGGATGGGAGGGGGCGGAGCTCAGGCACCCTGGCTGCTTCAATGCACGGGCTGGGCCTCAGGCCCCCCCGGAGCTCCGGGCCAGTCAACGGAGGGCAAGCAACAGCCTTCCGGAACCAGGCTGAGACCACCCAGGCCTGCTCCGGAGTGGCTCACCCCAGGACAAGAACGGGTCTGGTTCTCTGGAGAAGTCCGGGAGCAAGGCAGACCTCACCCCACCCCAGGACCCATGGAAAACGTGCTCAGCAGGAAAGAAGAGCAGAGTAGAGGACGCCAGGCACCTGCCTGGACTGCGCTGTAGTTGCCACGCCCCGGCGGCGAGCCCACAGGGAGGGGCTTCTCCTCCCTGACCGTGAGACATGTGGCCCGACCACCTGGCCGTTGAAGTTACAACAAATGGTTCTATTCGTACTTTCTAACCCTCCAGTTCCTCCCCCCAAAAAACTGTACATGAGTTTACAAACATATTAACATATAAATAATGAGAAGCGTCCTGGCGGGAGCCTCCCCGGCTCTTCTGTCTCTACGCCAGGGAACACCTCCAGGGGGCGCTGTGCCACAGCACGAAGCGCCGTGATGAGGGTCCTCCGCTGCGCCGCTCTGGGCGCGGTGCTGGCTTCTTCAGCGCCGCAGGTTCAACCACCACCATGTCTGAGGTGCCCACGGAAGACCGACACCACTCAGGGCTGTGCTACTGCCCACACCCAGTCATCGTTCCGGCTCGAGCTCCTGCTGGAAGGGGCGCCTCTTCTCCCGACAGTGCTTCTTGTGGGCGGGCCAGTCCTTCTGCTGGCACTGGGAGCCGCAGTACCGGGCCACCTGGCAGCGCCCACAGATGTTGAACTCCCGGAGCTGCAAGAACACAGAGCAGGGGCCTCACAGTCACACAGCGGTGGTACAGCCCCCATGGGGAGGACCCGCCCCCTGCTGGCTACAGAGGCAACAAGGGGCCCGAGTGGATGCAGGGAGTGCGGGCCCAGCCTGCGCACCACGGCCATACCTGCTTCTCGATCATCGTGCAGGGCGGGTAGTGGCACTCGTAGTAGGTGCAGGAGCTCTCCTCCTCCTCCACCACATCCCCATTTGCGTTGTAGAACCGTGTCACGTTCAGCACAGGGAACTGCTCCTCGATGGGGTCCGTGGGCAGCTGCTGGATCGCCAGCCAGTACAGGCTCTGCTCTCTGAGGGGG